AAAAACAAGTTTCGACTTCACCATCTGAGAGAATTAGCGTTACGATCTCAGCGACCCAACGAAGTTCGAAAGCGTCGAACTTAGCGAATTATAACCGATCCTAGCTTTGCCAATAGGCCTGACTCGTCGAGTGAATTATCTCCACCAATGATTCAATTAGCTCCGGTGAGTCTCACATAGCCAAATAAAATTAAACAAGTCTTTCTAGTGTTTCCTACTCCCGTGGTGGTTTGCAACTTTGTTTGCGACTTTCCGGAGATAAATACTCCGGAGCGTCCATTAGTGTTTGTTTCAGGTGTCAAGGTTTTTGTTTTATTTTTCTAGGCCTTCCTACGGACTACCCTACAGCGTCTTACTCCTCCTTTCCCCCTCGAACTATTAAATACCCCTCAGTTGTCTCGGACCGCCTTCACCCATATCACGGGGTTTAGGTTTATTCCTTTTGGTCCTTGGTGATTGTTGTGTGTCTGTGCATATCAACGCACAAGACTATAGGTCTCGAGGACGCAATCAGGAATAAATATTCCGATGATCCCTTCTTCAAGGACATCTTGTGTAAGCCTAAAGAATATAAGAACTTCATTGTGAAGGACAGACTGGTCTACCTGCAGTTGCAGGACCAGCTGGTGCTATGCATGCCAGATATTCGAATTAACGGCCGAAGCACCCAGGAAATTGCGATTTCCAATGCGTACATCCTGTTAGCCCACCTCGGGCTGCAGAAGACCTTAGATTTACTCAGGGACCATGTCTGGTGGAAAGACATGGTTAATCATGTAGAATTATATCGCAGGACATGCATTATATGCAACCGCAATAAGTTATCTATGCAGAAGCCATATGGGCTCCTGAATCCACTACTGGTACCTAGCCGCCCTTGGGAGGCAATTGGTATGGACTTCATGGGTCCCTTTCCCAAGTCTAAGAACCGAGATCGAGTGTTTGATTCCATCACAGTAATAATTGATCATTTCACCGCCATGATCCATCGGATTGACTACAAAGCTTGGCATGTGGCCTAACTGGTATTTTTGGAAGTGTTCAAACATCACAGATTACCGAAAGTGATTATCAGTGACTGTGACTCGCTATTTATGTCGGTATTCTGGAGCCAATTGCATGCACTCATTGGCGTTAAGTTAAAAATGTCAAGTGCATACCATCCTCAGATGGATGGATCATCTGAGCACGCTATCAAAACTATAGTGCAGATGTTAAGGCATTGTATTGGTGAGAACCAGAAAGACTGGGTTTTGCGGCTCCCAGTCATCGAATTCACCATCAATATGGTAAGATCAGCAAGCACTGGCTACGCGCTGTTCTTCTTGAACACTGGCTGGCTTTCGAGATCCATGATCTGGAACTCCGCCAAGGCCGATGAGTACCCGGGTGTTCAGGTGTATGCCCGGAAAGTAAAACAGGCTATTATGGCGGCACATGATAGCATCCTAACTACGAGGGTGAAACAGACACGCGATGCAAATCAACACCGCAGACCTTCCCCCTTCTGCGAGGGAGATCTGGTGTATATCCCTACCAAGAATATACGATTTGCAAAAGGGCAGTCCCAGAAGTTGCTACCAAAATGGCTGGGTCCTTGCAGGATCACCAGAGACTTTGGCAATAACTCTTATCAAGTTGAACTTTCAGCACACTTGAAAGGGAGAGGCATACATAATCTCTCTCATGCCTTGCTGCTAAGAATACATAAACCAAATGATGACCAGCTCTTTCCGGGGCGAACAGATGCACAAGTAACCATATTGGATGCAGACACCACCAAAGGCCTGGAATGGGCAGTGGATAAAATTATTGCCCACAAAGGCAAAGGCCGAGGCACCACTTTTGAACCCATCTGGCAGGCGGGTGATCACACGTGGCTACCATACCATGAGATCTCACATCTCATGGCACTTAAGTTGTATCTTGATGCACAAGGGGCAAATGATATTTGACAGTTGCACTGAGGGGGCTGGTAAACCACCAGCAGACGATCCACAGGTATTTGCAGGAAAAATAAATACATTTTCGATGTATATAAGACCTGCCTCTACCCCTCCTCAATTCCCCATCCAACAAGCCTCATCACCCACCAGCACCTTCTCCATGGCTCACTCATCCTCCATGGCTCACATGTTCTCACCCAACAACTGCCCAATAATGATCCGTGACTTTGACGGTGGATATGTCAAATTCATTGCTGGACCGAACCTCGTTCAGTCTTTCACCCATGCCCAAGTTAGCAAGTACTACCGGTTCCAGACCATCCTCCGTAAAGAGAACTCCCTCAGCCACTCGAAGTTCCCAGCGGCTACGTGGAGTATGCTGAGCTGTTTAACAACGGCACACAGTACTGGGCTATGCTGGTCCAGACAGCCAATGGTGTCAGCCTCACGCGTCCCACGCCGCCTTTTGCTGACATCTGCGGACATCAGCTTCGACTCCCCACTGAGATGCCTGACCCAGCCAATGTCCTTACCGATGCGCAGAGGCAGACCCTCACCAATTACAGCTTCACAATGATGAACTCCCACAACACGCGTCAAAAGTTTAACCAGTGGAAGAAGGAGGAGAGGCAGCAGATGCACCTCAACAAGAGGTTAGGAAACATGCGTGGCCAAGGCTGTAATTGGGCGGCGGCACCACCACCCTACATTCCCCCTCCAGAGCTCACTATTGATTTCACTGGCATCAACTTCAATCTTCCCCCGAACCGGCACTGCCACCACCGCCTACTGATACACCCAATGTTTGGATTGTCGTTGGCAGGCTAGGGCAGTGCTATTTCCTAAAAAAGGCAGCTGATATTGTTTGCAGCTCATTCGGCTAAACAATGGCAGGTGTTAAATTCCATCTCAAGCGGTCCTACAGCTTCCCGGTGCCCATCAAGGGTCAATTATCTGCGTAACTCCCATTGCAAGCCCTTGGTCAGGTCATGTACACCCTTCAGGTGCTTGACCACTGCGGCCGTCCGAGTATAATCATCCAGACCATCCATGCTTCCAATCTGGCATTAACTGAGTGTCTAATCCCAGCCGAATCCTCATTTTGCTAAAATTGAGTGGTCTGTCAAGAGATCTGAGGTGCACAGTGAGTGAGTATGAAGTCCTGAAACCTGATGGTATTCAAACCTTGCACCATATAGAGGACTTCTCACACCCTCCAAGAAGAGCACACACTGTTGAAATCATCCTGGCAAATGTAGATTGAGCATGCTTGCCCCAGGCAGTCAGTTGCCCGAAGGGCAATCGCTTACCCTACAAAGAGCAGATACAGTGACTATATATGAGTTCCGCATAAACTCTCACCCGCTACGGCCACCTATGGCAGTCCCGTCCTATAGCGCGCGAGCACACGAGCTCACAAGCTCAACCAATAACCCTGAAATTCCAACACACACAATGGTGAGTGATTTTATGAGAAACAGAGCATGGCCATATGGCAGTACCAGAATTCATGGCAGTTACAGATGGGGAGGGCTGCACAAGCAACAAACCATAGATGCAGGGCACTAGTGAATGAGCATGATATATCGGCACTCAGCTCATTGACAAAAGCGAATGGGTTGCATCCCCACACAATGCCCTGCTCCCACTTGCTCAGTCTGCAAAAGGATCCATTGTGGGTGCATCCTTGATACCCTGCAACTCAGCCATCTTACAGGTGGCATTATAGGTCTTGCACTTGGTGGGCATCCCACAGATTGCCAGATACTCAAGGACTCTGTCCTCATCGATAGTAGTGGCTGAAAAGTTGGGAGCAGACCTCTGCCATGCAATAGTGACCTCCTTCTCACTGCCAGCAAGACTGTATTTGCCCAATGTGACTATGTGTAATGCGAGATTGATGAAACTGTCCACATCCTGGAGATACCGGTGATAAGCCTCAAGGGTCATGTAACCCCCAAAATTGCAAATTCAAAGTTCCTACCCACCTCTTCCCGAGTCTATTCGATGTGGAAATCACACAATCTTAGGCTAGGATTGGGGCAAACCATTTTCTTCATTGAACTCTGAACTTTCTAGCATCCTCAATATGAGTGCAGATCCCTGTGAAGCTTTAGCTCTGAGGTCTGATGCTCCGGAGTGACTCAGGATGCAACGTCACGAAGAATTAACTCTGGCATCCACAGTCCTCTGTCTCATTGTCCGTCATCCACATTTCCAACTTTCAGTACTTCCCCTCCTTCATCTCCACCAAATTACCCAGCTTGTAAATCCATGACCATGAGGCAACCATCAGTCAATGAGTGGCCAGAGATAATTAGCACATTGTCAGCAGAACTTGCAATGGATATAAATCCACCTAGAATCTACTAAGCAGAAAGGTCATCAAGAGAATGCTGGATTTAATGTTGGTTGAGCAGTTCCCTTGTGTTCGAGAGGTAGGATAAGTTTCCAAACCACTGTTACCCTGATATTTGGTGATAGCCTGATAGATAACAAATAGGTAGCTGACTACTAGAGTCTAGCTGACAATGAAGGTAGAGAGCAAACACAGGTTGCAGGAGCCTAATGGCAGTACTCCAACAACACAGCCTTATATTCTCAAGAAAGGCCTAAGTTAACAGAAGCAGACAGCAGACAGTACTGCAGTCCTTCCCTACTCTGAGGTGCTTCAGATTCAGTCAGAGTCCAGACAAATGCTTATCCAACAGTAGGGACAAGGTCTGATTGACTTGACAGGCAAATAGCTTTATTGGGGGATTCCAGATAGATTAATCCTCCCTTTGCCCTCCCTACTGAGCTCCTTATATACCCTACAGTAATTTGAAATTACAAACAATAGGATGGGAAGATACTTAGGAGGAGACAATAGTGTGAGAACAAAGTAACAATAGTGTGAGAAAATGGTGTGGGTCATCCAAGTCCAGGCATGAATCAACCAATCCCTGAACTTTAGGAACATGGGTGACTAAGCCAAAATAATAGGCATGGGAAAGTGGTAAACTATAAGGTGAGAAGAGCATGGAAGAAAACAAAAGTGCATGGGAAATCAAGAACAAGGGGTGGGAAAACCTTTAGCAATACCATGTGAAAGCCTAAACAACGATGCTTGGCCAATCATGGAACACTGCCGGTCCTTCTAGACACTAGTAATTACCTTTGGTTGTTAACAATTTCATGACAAGCAGTGATGGGACGGTCAAACCCCGACCCTTTGACGAATTGACGAGTGTCAATGGGTCAATTGGGGTCTGACATGGTCGGACCTATCGTCAAGGCGTCAATGCGTGACTTTGAGCTCACGTGTGCGGTGGCGTGTTGCACTGAATCTCTGATGTCTGTACTTCAATAATATACTGTATATTGGCACAACAAAAAATACTGTAGACACCATCTGACTTGTATTGCGCAACCACATCCACCCTCTAGACGGCATGCATCCCTCGAAAGTCTGGGAGCATTTCTACCGCGGTATACGGAAGTACACGGAAGCTTTGCCGCTGTCGGCGGAGGCTGCACAATCGGGCGTGGACGATCAGATTTCGGTCGGCGTCGACGATGCGTCCTGTTCGTTTGCCGCAGTTGCTAGCGAACTACTGGAGCAACTCGCTGCTGATGAAGCCACCACTCTGTCAGAGTCTCGAGTGCCCAACTCCGCTAGTCCTGCTGCGCCAGTGGATCACTCCGGGTACGAGGCCCCACTGCATACCTCCTGAAGAATCTCTTTCTGTATCCATCCCCGGGGACTATATCTCCCTCACTGAGTGCTCTTACTATGTACTGGCCTCGAGGTGAAGAGAATCTCGCCACAGAGATGGCTTTTCATGATTCTTTGAGCTCACCCCAGGATTGAACTCTGTCAATGCTCTACCTTTGGACAAGATGTACCCTTATTCCTTCATCCTTTTTTCTTACTCTATAGCACATTCCTATCTTCCCTCTTACTAGTAGATCCCATAATAGCAGGCGCAAATCTGAGTAGTCTACATACAGCATATAGATGACTAGCAATAGCTCAGCTACACTTCTGGCCCTGGCAGTTCACGTAGCCGGATTGACCAAGTCACGCATTGACTCCGGACCCAGGTCAAGGTCAATGGGGGTCGTATGGCGTCAGACCTCTCGACTCGGGGTCTGACGCGTGTCAATGCCAACACTGATGACAAGTACTATCCAGGTCCTGTGTTGGCTTGTCATGGATCAATACAATATTGTAAGGCAGGCTTTTGGAGTATTGTGGGGGTTTTGTCAGGGTGTTGCAGGCATATTGTAGGGGGTTTGTAGGCTTGTTGTGGGAGTGTTGTGGATGGATTGTAAAAATATTCTGCAGGTATTGTAGCTTTGTGGGGTAAATTGTAGGGGTATTGTAGCAGGTTTGTAGGTTCATTGTAGGGGTATTGTGAGCAGATTGTAGGGTAATTGTGGTCACATTGTAGGCTTGTAACAGGGGTTGTAGGTCTATTGTGGGGGTATTGTAGCTTGTTGTAAGGATGTTGTTGGATCATTGTAGCTCATTGTAGGGGTATTATGGGGGTATTGTAGTCTGTTGTAAGGATATTGTAGGGATATTGTAGCTTTGTAATACAGATTGTGGGGGCATTGTAGATGGATTGTAGGTCTGTTGTTCACACATTGTATATTTGTAATTATTAGCTCTTGGAGCATTGTAGGGACATTGTACAGGGTTGCGGGGGTTATTGTAGCTTTGTAAGGTAGCTTGCTGAGGCATTGTAGCAAGATTGTAGGTATTCTGGAGGGACATTGTAGGTTTGTAACATGGATTGTGGGCAGCATTGTAGACCTGTTGTGAGAGGTTGTTGCAGCATTGTAGCAGGATTGTGGAGAATTCTTTGGGCATTGTGACAAGATTGTGGAGGGTTGTGAGGGGCATTGTATGATGGCTGTGGATTTACTATGTAACCATTGAAGGTATGAGTGGGGGATAACTTCCACTGATATCCTCATTACTAATGTGATTTGGTGTCACAAGACAGGTTTTCATCACCAGCTCCAAAACATGTTTTTGCATTTTGCCACCCAAGTGTGTGATTAAATCATAGACACTTCTGGGACTGTAATTACCCCATATATGGCTACAGGTTTACTTAAGGGCCCAAAAGATTCCGACCAGATACTGGCCAGCTACCGCTGTTGGCTTGTGTTAAAATATTCCAAGCAAACGGAAGACAAGTGCATTTGCCCCAGGTGGTCAGTTGCCCAAATGGCAATTGCGTACTGTACAATGAGTAGATACAGCGACTATATATGAGTTCCACATAAATATTCATCCACTATGACCACCTACAGTGGCCCTGTCCTATCATGTGTGAGCTTGCAAGCTCGACTGATTACCCCAAAATTCCAACAGCTTGTACCCTTCCTACACCCTCACCCCAGCTACTGCTTTTGCTTCCAATAGTCATTATACCCTCCCCCTAAAGTTGAAAGTTGTAGACAAACAGCTCACAACAATTCATGTAACACACAGCCCAACTATGGATCTATAATACTGCAGTCCCAGTCACACCCAAAGACACCAACATGTTGTCACTCTGGAATGATCATGCATGATATCATCTTACAAATTGCAGGTAACACCTCAGTAGGTATGCCCCTTCAATCATACACCTTGTCCCAGGCATCCCACTTGCTTTCCAGCATATTGCCACACTAGAGGGCATGCATGCTGCAGGAACTGGGTTGCAACCTGGCACTAACCAGTGCTGCTGCTCTGTCCCGGAATTGTATAAGAAAAGGGGCATAGCTACTGAGGTGTTACCAGCAATTTGTGAGATGACATCATGTGTGATCATTCCAGAGTGACAACATGTTGATGTTTTTGGGTGTGGCTGGGACTGCATTACTATATACTGTTATTTGTGGGGCTGCATGCCACACCACTTGTTATTAGTTGCTTAAATACTAATTAGGCATTAGGAAGAGGCCATACAGACTGTTGGAAGCAAAAGTGGTAGCTCGGGTGAGGGTGTAGGAAGGGTACAAGCCAAAAGCGGTAGCTGGCCAGTATCTGGTTGGAATTTTTTGGGCCCTTAAGTAAACCTGTAGCCATATATGGGGTAATCACAGTCCCAGAAGTGTTTATGATTTAATCACATATTTGGGTGGCAACATGAAAAAAACTGCTTTGGAGCAGTGATGAAAACCTGTTTTGTGGTTATCTCAGCACATTGGTAATGCAGATATGAATAGTAATTATCCTGCACTCATACCTATAATGGTCTCAGAAAATTTTCACAATCCTGTTACAATGCCCTAACCATCCTTTACAATCCTGCTACAATGCCCCCATAATCCATCACAATCCCTGTACAATGCTCCAAGAATTCATCACAATCCCACTAGAATACCCCAATGATTCATTACAATTCCAGTACAATGCCCCAACAATCCATCACAATTCTGCTACAATACCCAGACAACTCTTCGATCATGTCACAATACCCCAACAACCCTTCACAATGCCCCAAACTATTCATCACAATCCCATCTGGCTACTGCTTTTGGCTTATACCCCTCCTGGTGCCTCTCTCCCCAGCTACTGCTTTTACTTCCTACAGTCTATGTACCTCCCCCCATGTGTAGTATAGCATACAATAAATGTGGTGCAACAATCAGTGTAGTGTAGAACCCACCACACAATTATGTATGTCAATGAAAGACCAGCACTACACAAAACCACAGACATGTTGCTACTCTACAATGGAAACACGTGATATCCGCCCTTTCAATCATATCACTTGTCCTATCCATCCCAGTCCCTTGCCTGGGTTAGGGTTACTGCATGTCACAGCAGCAGGCACAGACAGCTTCAGACAACTCAGTTATACAGTATATAACAGATAGTGAGGATACGCACCAATTATACAACACAGTAATATACATCAGTGATGTTCACTGCCATACAAAGCTTTTAGAATTAACAGTTGACATACTTTTGAAGGCACATGCTAAGTATCTGCACCAGTTTGAGGACTGTTAAAAATGCAAAAAATCATGAGAATACTGTAGGGTGTATTCAAATTGAGGGGCCAAAAGATAGCAGGTTGAGTGTAGCAATGGGCATTCAGGAAGTTGAGGATACAAAGGTGAAGCATGTGTCATGGCACTGTCACAGTATAGAGATGTCTGGAGGATATTTGGACATTATCGCACTGGTGTGCACTGTGGCTGATGCTCAAACATTCAGTTTCTTTGGGCACTACTATGCCATATAGCTCCTGCTAGACTTAATTCCAAGCTGAAACACTTGGGTGTGATGATCTATATAGACTGGGAGCTTGACTAGGCTCCAACGACTCCTGGTAATCAACTAATACTACTCAGAAGAGATATTCTGAGGAGGTAAGCCATTGATACACCCCAATGCTCTCTGACCTCCGAAAACGTGGATTCAGCCTCATGTACGACTTCTCAGAGAAGTCTATCTGGCAGTGGGAAACAACACCATTAGATACTTCTATGACATCTGGTGAGGACTTCGATGGCCTTCAGTCGGGTCAGCTGTCAATCACCAACTCTGCCTTCACCGCTTTGACCGGTTCGATTGCTGCAGCATGAGACCGATGGTCTGGTACTACCATATGCCCATTTGCCTTGCACAATGGCACGCAATTCTGACATACGCAGCCAAGATCCGGCCATGGAAAGCCTCGAGGACAGATTCACCTAACCATATGACATATAGCGGCTGGAGGGGACAGGCTAGTTGCTCACATGATCAAGATGCGGTGGATACAGCATGGTGGTCGATCAAATCGGTCGGGTATGAGCCTTTGCAAATGAGTGCATAGTCATAGGCTGGATGAAAGTGGTACGAACATAGGATTATGAGCAACCACAAGGAGACATGGTTAGTGGTGAGTGGGCACGAGATGGCGGACGGCAGCGGTGGAAGGACTTGTACAGTGGAATTGAAGTTGGTTTGCAGCTAGGGATCATATATATAGTGTATCACAATGTTTTGTAACCCAAGAAAGAAAAGACATCTTCACCCATCTCAGCATCCAGAGTTAGCATCCCAGCGTTCTTCAAAGGTCGAACCTGTTGACCTTAGCGTACTAGCAATTGAATCCTTTCACCTTACATTGTTGTTCCTCTCAGCCTCTTGCATCCTTGACCACAGTGTGTGGGACTTTTGTTCTTAATTCATCATTTACTTTTATAAGAGCTTATTAACTGCTTGACCACATGGAATCAATAATCAGGTCATCATCAATCGCCTCGACCAACTCCTCGATTGGTTTCGGTCACTCCCAGTTCCATGTTTGACTCTAGTGGCTTCAATAAACTCAGACTATCTACAGTGTCTTTCTCCTCCCTCCTTCTCGAACTATATCTTACACTTCAGTTTCCTTAGACCTTTGGCACCCACACTGCTGGGTGTTGTGTGTTGGTTTTGTTCTGGTCTTTGGGTCTGTTGTGTGTCTGTGCATATCACCGTGACCACTTCTTGAATGTTAATCCTCTTCTACTGATGTAAATGGTTTATATACATGTAAGGACATCTATATATCTGCAAATGAGCAAGGAACAGATGCTCTGAGAGCTCTGTACATATACAGTAAACTGTCTACCATGCCCACTCTCCAGAAATGTACGTGCATTATCACCATTTCATGGCCATATCATCACTCTAATAGTATCTTGAATATGTGGATGCTGATGTTACAGTCCCACTTTGTCTATCTATGGCCAGAATAGCTTACTGAAGACCACCCTTTCCTAAGCAAAGGAATACCTCCCTTGGCATCGATAGGTCTCTTTAGCTTCCAGGGTATATCTTACAGTTCAACATCTATAGTTCCATAACTGACTACCCAGAAATGTTTCATTTCTAGCTGGTTCCCCAGCCTGTACCCTGCCCTTTCCTCCAGGCAGCCTCCCCCCCTGAATGCCGGCTTACCCTGCAGGTCTAGAGCTGCCTACCACACTTTCCAGGTCCTCACAACACTATTTAAGCACCTCATGATGTTTGTGGCCCCCAGCTAAGTGTTTCTGGAGCATCATTTCTCTTCCTGACATAGGTCTAACACCAAATGCAAGTGTAACCATGCACCGTCACATTATATATGTGACCCAACATGTCAATAATGTACATACAGTACATATGAATGTATTAACAATTTATACAAATCTAATGCAAATTATAGCGGCCAATATACAACCATATACGTCGCCACCGACACCAACAGTGAGCAGAAAGGCGGGTGTCGACAATGGAATTGTTTGGGAAGTGCTCGTAGCGGGTAGGAAAGCGCACAATGTGCGCACAGCCCATACTTTGCCACGTATTTTTGTCTATCAACATCAGCACTCACTGTTACCTACGACAGCGGGAAGGGTGGGAGGGCAGTCAATTACTTGATTAGGAACATCAGCAACCACCAAAGCGCCCACTGACATCGGCCGCTGCTATATCGACACTATCTAAACATAGCTACTGGATACACTATAGAGTACCTTTACAAATTCAATGCCCACCGCTGGTATGACCACCGGTGTTAGCAGACAGTGATTTTCAGCTGTCTTAGGCTCGACCAGCGGTCACTTGACCTGGCCTAATACAGCTAAGACCCTGGGCTGTCTAGGTGCTCACGTTCTACTATTTATACTCACCGCCTACCTAATCCTACATGTTCTTCTATTTCTACTCACTGTTTACCTGTTCCTATGCTCTCCTCTATTGCACAATGATCCCATCGTCTATCCCAAATTTTCCTTGATTCTTTGGCATTTTTTCCAATATGTTCTTGCCACCCAGCACCCTGACTGAGTATTACATAAGCTTGCCACCCTTTTCTGGCTGCTAGACAGGCACACCTTATTTTGGAAATTTCCCAGGGTCCCAGGCCATGGACCAGCAAGACCAGGCACGAGCAGGTTGCCCTGGGATAGCCCTGGGATAGTACTACTATTGGTCTAATAAGTGCAGACACACTAATCACAGCACAAGTACTATTGGCATAGTACTTCATTACAGGTGTTATAACACTTTCATTTTACGGTAATTAGCACATTTAGTAGTACTACAGTCCTGGACAACCAAAGGCAACAAATTGATCTCTGACTGAACGAGAATTTTTGGCAGGAAACTGAGTTCAGATTTGGACTCAGGGAGGCTGAAAATGTCTAAAAATGAGGTCTCCATATTTCTCCCATGACCTTTTGATATGGCCAAAATTTTGGGCCATTTCAATGACATTCTATACAGTCACCAGACCTCTCAGGTCATGCCCTGAGCCTTTGGGGACCTGTAAACCTTTGTATGGAGCTGCATCTAGCCTTTCAAAGACTAAGGGGCCCAAAGAAGTTCAAATGTATGACACATGTTACTTTGATTGCCATATTTGGCCCACATTTATGAGAGCTATTATGGCATATCAGCTCGTCAAATTATTAGATTTAAGCCAGAATCAGACTCAGGTCATTGAAAGGAGCCGATTGGCATATTTTCCGCATTTCTCTTGATTCGTTCTGTATACAGCCAAAATCTCAGCCCTTCCCGACCCAGTATTGAAGGCTACAGGGGGTTTATGGGAAATTGGCTTGTGCCAATCTCTTCGTTAGAGTCTAAATCACTCATTTCTGCAATAAAATTGGGGTTCCCATGGCTGCTAGACCTCCGGAAATTTGATCACCGGATTTGTTGTCTTTGGTTGTCCTGGACTGTAGAATGGCTGGAATCAGTGCTGGATAATACCAGAATAGGTTGAATACTGGAGTGGCCAATCTGGGTCAATTTTACCAGGATCAATCTTAACCAAACTGGCCATTTTTACTGGGACTGGAACCCAACCTTCCCCCCTGTCCTCACTTTACTGTGATACAGTATCTGACCATGAACCCCAGAAAATATTGATTAAATATTCAAAAACATTCCTGCATCATTAGAGCTTCATATATGACCTCTAGGACCTTCTTTGAACATTTATACGGCATATTGATGCAAATACTACTTTACATGAGGTTTTTCATATACTGTGGTGCATGCACAGCCCGATGTGCCTTCACTTAGTACAGCTTTTTACCAGGACGTGAGGATATTGGCGCTGTGTGGCACTCCAGAGTCCAATTCCCATATTTTCAGTGTCCCAGGTGGACCTGTGAGTAGATCACTTTGATCATAAAAGACTAGAGTATTCTAAATAAATGTGTATAACCTAACCATCACTGGCCTCTTCACCAGTACAGGCAGTGATGACTACCATAATAAACTGTTTGCTGTTCTGCTGCATTTCAGCCACCTGAATGCAGCTGGAGACTGACCTAGTGGTGACAGGTTGTGAATTTGCTTCCGGGCTTGTATAGCCCACTAATTAGGTATATATGGAATTAGCCCTGTGATCAGGCACAATTGCCATGTGTTCCTACACCCCATAGCGAAATGATAACTGATTCTCCAGGAATCAGAATGGTATCTGACCCCCCTGCCCAGCAGGTACATTATTGGGACTTCAGAACCCAACCTCCCTGTGGCTGAAGGTGTTTCTTACCGGGACTGTACCTGACCCTGGGGTCCTGGGAGCTCTGATTTTACCAGGATGTGTATCCATGCTACCTAGGTATTATCCAGGGTCCTTTTGGCCGCAAAAAAATTTCCACACTGCCAGCTCCAAACAAGTGTCTCACATTTTGGCACACTAATACCACACATAATAATGTCCTTTTGTGACTGTGGTCACCTCATATAGGACTACAGGTTTACTTACAAGTGTGGGAGAATCTAACTGCTCAATAAATTGTTGAACTAGGCGCTGACTTAGCTGCCAGGTTCTACAACGTACCAGAACATACCGGAACTCTCTGGAATATTCTGGTATATTCCATTATTGTACAAGGGCACGGAGCTCATGTGGGTCAGTGACATCATAGGTGGAGCTCAGTAGGATTATAGATATTCCACGTAGCTTAGTCAGCCTATGGGCCACAGTGTATATAAACCCTGCAGCTCTACTGCCTAATGACAAGGGGTCGTTTATACGAGCTTTACCAGTAGCTACAGCATCCAACCAATACAGGTGAGTTGTGTAGGGCGCACTGTGCATGCTGCTGCCTCCATAACTCTTCATCATAAATAGCTACTGCTTTCCAGTCATACTGCTCCCGGAGCTTTTCCAGCCACTGCCACTGGGTGTGATGGACCACACTGCCTCTTCCTAGTGTATAGAGTGGTATTCCACCAAGGTGTAGCAACTTCCACACCATGTAAGTCACTATTCATGGAGATATATAGATGCACTGTGAATCTGACCCCAAAACACAAAGATGTTCATCAGCAAAATGGCAGCCTACGCTAAGAGAGATTCAGGTGCTAAGGACCGCTGAGGCGCCCATGCCAAGCTCCTTAGCTCTAACTCTCTGAGCTTCTTAGCTGATGCTCTAGAGGGGTGGCAGAGCAATATAGTTGGCTCCATTGATCATAGACATACATGTATTGTATACCAGTAAGACTAGACAAGGGTGGAGACTCGTAATTTGGGATTTGCAATTGTTGAAGGCAAAGGCAAAGCAGATGATATACCTTTAGTGGGGAAGGACTGCCATGTCCTTGTAGCTGAATGGTTATATTGTATGGTGTAAGTTCAGAAGGTGCTGGTTCAAATCGGTCCTGCTCTTATTTTTCCATTTTCTCCCCACTTATGTCTTGCCTGAATGTTCTTAGCGCCTTAATCAAGGACTAGCTAAGTTTCAGCACTGGGCTCAGGGATTGTTCTATTTGGCAACCAGCAGTCACATCAGTCACAGGTTTGAGAAACCCTTCCGAACTTGGTAACTTTGCAGGGGTTTCCAGTGCAACCCGGGTTCTTCTGTGGATGGTGTTGGATTTCGGGAGTCGGGATCGAGCTTGCGAGCTCGTGCCGTGTTGCGCGTGGTCAGGGGGGACCACCGCAAGCAGGCCCGACTGATAAGGTGGTAAGAAAATTCATATATATTTGTTGTATCTACTCGATGTACTGTACATGATTGCCCTTCCGGCAACCGACCACCTGGGACAGACACGCTCGTCTTCCATTTGCTTGGAATATTTCAAGAGATGGGGTTTGCCATATAGAATAATCCTGGGCTCAGGGGGTGGGCCCCCATGACTTAAGACCGCGGACTTGGTGTTGGAATTTTGGGGTTATCGGTCGAGCTTGCGAGCTCATGCATGATAGGACGGGGCCGCCATAGGCAGCTGTTGCAGGTGAATGTTTGTGCGGAACTCATATATAGTCGCTGTATCTACTCGTTGTATGGTATGCGATTGCCCTTCAGGCAACCAACCACCTGGGGCACCCGCACTCAATCTATGTTTGTCAGGATTATTTCAACACTTGGCACTTATTTCAAGTTATTTGCCTGAGACTCATTCTTGGCTTCGCTTAGACGGACGTGCCATTTTGCTGATGTTGCTATACCACAAGAACCAGATATGATATCTTCCTGCAAACACTTGCCAGCACCTCCCTGGATATGCACGATGAGATTTCTATCTTATCCCAGCCACCACATTCATTTTGAGTGCATTTGGACTGTCGTAGTTTTACGGATGTGATGATATAAAGCTACCATCAGATTCCACATTGCTTGAGTAAATAGAAGTCTACTGAAAAAAAAAATGGTGCAAAAATCCTTCAATCTACCTGTGTCCTCATGTGCACAATGAATCCTCCATCCATCCAAGACAATGGGGAAAGATGGATAGTAATGTCTACCAGTGACAGGTGCTTTGTATGACCCTGTAGAATTTGCTATGTATGGTCTTTCTGATGCCTCCCCTCACATCCACTTACTACCAGCAGGCAACAACAAAAGACAGCTCATGTTGACCCTCACATCTTCAGGCAAACGATTGAATTAATAATTTACAGAACAACATGAACAATACCCGTGACATGCGACACAAAGCACCCCGTCTAGTCATCCGTCTCCTCCGCTAACGTGAGGCGCTCGTGGCAGAGCCGTGCCACAAGCGCGCCGTCGATTGGTATTGAGTTGCCCTGGAACCCTTCGGGGTAAGCGACTTGGGGGACGTCGGGACGCGTGAAGGCCCTACAAGGAATGTGTGAATATCACACGGCTACGGGAAACAACTGCAACGCGAGAAAGCAAGAGAGACGGGCTTGTAGTACCCACCTGTCCCCCCAAAACCCGTAGTGCACCATCCCGAGCGCGCGCGTCGTCCACTCATAGTCGTGCGCGAACCCACCGGGGAAGAAGAACTCCATCACGGTCGAGCGGCGCTGGGGCTTCATCCAGACGAGACTCGTTAGCCCGTTTCCGTGCACGCCCATCATAATCTACAGCCGACGAGGTAAGAGAGCGTACATCTGCGAGAGAAGAAAGCACACACGGTCGTCCGCCCGGCAAGCTGCAGCTGCTCCACGCGGGACATCTTGTCCATGTTCGCCACGACGACCTCGTATCCGTACGTATCCCTGAGCTTGTACAGCTCCTGTACGAGCCGCTCGTGGTCCTCCTGCTTCAACATCCTCCTCCCCCATTCCTGGCGCGAGATATACGTGATCACGTACTTGTCGCTCGGCTGCATCGCATCGCTGAACCCCGCGAACTGCATCACGCTCCCACGAATCGTGGACCACCAATGCGCGCTGCCAGGAAGCGCGAAGGGCACGCTCGCCGTGCGCTGCGTCCTCAGAAAATTATACGCGTACATCGCGGCGCTGCGGTCCGCGAGGACGACGCGGTCAAGCACGCTCACGGCGCCCATACCCGCGCGCTCGGCCCAGTCGGTGTTGAACTCGAGGGCGATGCCGGGGAAGGCGGCGCGGAGCACCCACTCGTTCATGGCGGCGTAGTCGCGCCAGTGCGCGGCGTCGAGGTGGGAGAAGAGGAGGCGGCGGGGAGGGGGGAGGTGGGTGGAGCCGTTGGCGGGGATGGTGGGGTCGAGGGAGGAGTAGGTGCGCCAGAGGCCGAAGAAGAGCTCGGCGGACCAGTGGTAGTAGTGGGTGATGCTGTTGGGACGTTAGCCTGGCAAAGGGGAGGGGGGGAAGAGTCGTACAATTGGGCTGGGTCGTTCACCCACCACTGCACGAATCAGCGCAAAACTGAAGCAGGATCGGCGATGCACGTACCGAGACTCCATCTATTCTACTCGCACTGGGTACACCGAAAATCTCCCTTGCTTCTGCGGTACTAACAATCCGCATCTCCTGGTCTGTCGGCAAGCGACTGGCCACTTCGACGGGGCCGTTACGGATAGGGCGTCCTTTGGAGATTATTTTGGAGCGGTCTGGGAGGCCTTTTGGGTCGTCGGTGACGATGTAGGCCGTGCCATTATACAGATATAGTCTATCAAATATTGTCCATCCTGCAAGGTCTCAGGTCCAAGGCCGCTGTAGAAGGAATCCGAGCGTACCTGGGACGTGCGCAACTACAGTAGTCTCTGGAAATCCGTCTACTCGATTGCTGCCATATTCGTATGGCGTCTGGACATGCGAGGGATCGTAGGGAGCGATGGCAAGGTCTTGAGTCGCAGACGAGAGCTGGTTGCCCGCCGACTGCGTGCCAGAATGAGATCTCGAGACAAAAAAGACGAGGGAGAAGAGGAGGACGACGACGAGGGCGAGCTCGCGCGTTGTGGGCGTCGGGGGAGACATCCTTGGGAGGGTGTCCTCCACTGCCTGCACTGAGACTTTGAATGAGTGGGCAGCGAGTAAGCGTGAGAAACGAGACAGGCGGACACGTGCCACCGTGACGTCGCGACGCGTGACGAATGGCGTCCGCGTCGTTGTGTCACGCTGCTGTTGAACGCGGCGTTGGGATCCGTCGTCTGCATGCTCGTCGCTGCTGGCGACGTCGATGAACGCTGTAATGCTGCCTTGTAAGTCTGCCTTTAATGTCGTTTGTTGCGGTCGCTAAGCATTGCTTGGACGCAGTGCGGGTGCTGTACACGATTAACAGCTCACCGCAATACATCCTCGCGCGGTCTCAGCGCAAAACACCCGTCCAGCTCGTTCACTCCCCCCACGCTTCGTCGTCTGCTCAGCCGCCCCCGCCACCTTTATACGCTACCGTTCCCCTTAAGACATGTCTGGATGTCATCTGTCGGTGCAGGTATGCTTAGGATACTTGTCGCCTGGGCCTACCTAACTAATATGTGGTTCGAATGAATGAAAGCCCTGAGCTGCTACAGTTTCAATCTTGCGACTACTCTGTCTATTTACTGGATCCACTAGAGACATGCTCTACCTCTCCTTCCTTCGCCAGTGTCCTAGATACGCCGAAACCACAACAAGGCGTCGCAGTCGGCATGGGCCTGCTCTCTTGGGCGCTATCTGCAGAAGACGACGACGACGTCCCCGTTACGGGCACCATCATCAGAACCGGGCACGGCGAGACCCTAGAGGTCGTCTTTGCTTTGCGCGAGGTACGTCTATTCCAACATTTTTCGTAGTTGTTCGAAGTACCCTCCGCCGATACCTCCAATAGACAACCCCCGTCCAGCGTACTCGCGCTCCAACAGCCACACCTTCCCAGCCCTCCCAATCCTTTACCTTTACCCGCGCCTCCTCCGTCTCCAGCTCCACGACGACGACGACCGCCACCACCTCAAGCTCCCGCCAACCAAGCGAAGCCCCCACCCCCCAGCTCCTCTGGGACCCCTCCCCCTCGCCCGCACCCTCCGACTCCTCCACCGCTGCCTCCAAAGCGCGCGACTGGCCCGCCATCTACATCGGGCCCCAGAGCGCGCTGCGGCGCGGCCGGCGGCGCTACGACGAGGCGCCCGAGCGGCCCGCGAGCGTACAGGGGGGACGGAAAGACAAAGGGCTCCCGCCGCCGTTCGTCAAGGCCCCGCTCGCGCGCGCAGAGTCGGCGGTATCGGCTGCGGGGAGCGGGGATAAGGGGCGGGAGACGCTGCCGCCCGAGGAGCGGTTTAATTTGGTCAAGCCCCAGCCGAGCGCGGCGGACGCGCTCGCGGCGCTGGCTGCGCTGATTGGGTCGGCGCAGGGTGCGAGCGACAGCGGCAAAACCGACCCGAATGTCGCGCTGCTGTCCATCCTAACAGCTATCGACTCCTCTTCTTCCTCGTCGCAAGCCCAGGGCCGCATCCGGCGAACCCAAACTCAGGACCAAACCCAAGCCGACCCCGCGCTGCTCAAAGCCCTCGCGGACCTCCTCTCGGCCTCCTCTCAATCACAAGCCCAGGCGAGTACCCGCCGCACGAAGCGCAAGTCCATGGGGGCGGACGATGACGGCGAGGTTGTGTGCCTGGACAAGGAGAACGTCGACCCGGGCGCGTTCCGCCGCAAGGCGCTCCGGCAGAGCGCATCTGCTGCCTCGCTCAAGGGCGCTGCTTCCTCCAACCCGGATAGCAATGACAGGGAGAGGGAGAGGGAGGACAGGAGGAAGAGCTTCCCGACCAGCACAAATGCGAACGAGAATGGGAAGCGCCGGTACACGCTGGACGAAGTCGCCAGCCGGACGCGGTACACCCTGGACGAGGTCGCGGGGCGGAAGCGCACGCTCAGCGAGATGTCGAACAGCGCACCGAGCGCCCTCCCCGCCACTTCCTCCACTTCTATCCCCACCCACTCTTCCTCCTCCTCCTCCTTCCCCTCCCACCCTCACTCCCAGCCCCCACAATCCTCTTACTCGTATTCATGCCATCACCCTGCAAGCAACGTGCAGCAAACACGGCCAAGCAGCGCCATCGCACACCCAGAACCCGAACTCGTGCACGCGATCGCGCAGTCCGATCCCGTCCTCCCCGTGCACGGCCCGCGCCCGCGCGACCTGCCGGACACGAGCATGGAGGCGCTGCGCGTCGAGCCGGGGCGCGGGGCGCGCAAGCGCTTCCGCCTGCCGGCGTGGGCGACGGCGCCCGCGTCGGAGCCTGCTGCGCCGTCCACGGCTGATTGTGCGGGGGAGAAGGGGAAGAGGAGGGCGGACAAGGCGGGGAAGGCAGAGAAGGAGAAGGAGAAGGAGAAGAGTGCGCGGTCTTCGAGGTGCGGCAAGAGCAAGAGCAAGAAGGAGCGGGCAGCGGTGGAGGGCCGCCCGCCCCCGCCATCGGCCGCGCCGCGCACGGTGTCCCTCCCCTGCATCCCGTGCTCCCTGCCCATATTAGCCGCTTCCGCGGCCTCGCCGACCGGGCTCTCCATCAAACCGCCGCTCCCGCCGTCCAGCCCGATCCGCCCGCATACGAGGACGCCGCCGCCGCCGCCAGGCCCGGACGGCGGAAGCTCGCTGTTCACGCCGTCCCCCGCGAAGGTGCCGTCGCACATGCCCGAGCAGCCCGGGTCGCCCACGCCGGCTCGGACGCTGGCGTCGCCGCAAGCGAGGGCGCCCTGGGCGCGCTCGTCGCTGCTGTCCCCCTCTGCGCGGGCGGGGAGCGCGGAGCTGGACGCGCCGCCGAGCTCGCTGCCGGTGGCGAGCAGCGACTGCGAGGTTGCGCCGTTGGGCGTGGGCACGCGGGGCGGGGCGCACTGGTCGGTCGGGCTGCCGCCGTCGTCGCCGCTGCCGCCGTCGAGCCCTGCGCTCGGGGCGTCGTGCGATTTCGAGTTTGAATTTGACTTTGGGGGGAGTGAGGGGGAAGGCGGGGAGCGCGGGGATGAAGGCGCGGAGGGGGACCTGGACGTGCGCGACCAGGTGCTGACGTCCGAGTTGGCCGCGGAGTCGGATGACGCGCAGGGGAACAGGGGCCTCGAGATGGGGCTGGACGTCGAGCTGCCCTCGGTGGACGACCTCTTCTCGGGGGTGGAGCTGTACCCGACGGCGAGCTCGGACACGGTGTGCGGGGACGCTGCGTTTTCCTTTCCCCCAGCGCAGGAGGGGATGGGGATGTACATGACCGGCGCGCAGGAGATGGACTTTGGCGAGTTCTGGGCATGCATGAAGGGTGTCGGGGCGGGTGTCGGGGCGGGTGTCGGGGCGGGTGTCGGGGCGGGGAGCGAGGCAGGGAAGGAAGAGGATGGAGTGGATTATGGGAAGGTGGCGGAGGATTTGCAGGCGCTGTTTGGGTTTGAGGAGAGGATCACATTCTAGCTGACCTCTCCTGCGAAGGGGGAAGCAATGTGGTCTGCCAAGAGGCATTAGGAGAATGTGTCGCAGTAACTCGCTTTGTATCGCTGTGCTTGAACTTGCAAATTGTGTAGATATACGCCACAAATCAATCGAAAACATTGTATATTCAACTCTGGGCTTGGTCGTTTTTTCAAGTCAATTTGTTCTGGAATGTGTGTGCGGAGCGTACACGCGGACGCTCTGCACATGTCTGAACGCGTCAATCACGTGCACCAATTGTGGCTTGAGGTCACCTGACATGTGAGACGCGAGCACGCCATCGCTCGCCATCGTCGCGCAATGCGCAAGCCGGGGGAAATGAAAAACAGCGCGAGCGAGGGAACAGGTTGTATCTTTTCCCCCACTGCTGTCGTGCTTGTCGTCGTGTTTGTGTCCTCGGCGTAGACATTCGACAGTGTTGCTTTCCGCTGTGCCCAGCCTGGAAGCATTTGCAGTCGGCGTTTCGCAGAGGCTTCTGTGGTCTGTCTCTCGATGTCATGGTATCCCGCTCCCGTGGTCTGCCAGCCAGTCACACTCGGGACTGTGCCGTCTGTCTCGTTCTCAAGAGTCTGGTCCTGCTGCCCTTTTCTTGGTCGACGGTTGTCAGTTCCGAGTCTCGCTGCTGTTACATGCCTGCCACGTCCACGGTCGACGTGCTCAGTGTCTGTCATCGTTGCATCAAGACTGGCCATGGCTGTCACCGCCAACATTCGTCGCTCGCCCCACGCCGCCGACCCCGTCGAGTTTGAATCTCCGCTCTATCGCCCGAATTCCGAATTGCCAGACGCATTCCGAATTGCCTGCGCTCCTGACTGGCTCACCGGACGACCGCTCCCAACGCCGACCCCAATCGGCCCATCCCACTGCCTCCCAACACTCCTGCCTTGTTCCACGCTGTTCCATCACGCTCCTATCTGCGAGCCTCCCCGCACCCAACCGGTTATCCTTGGCTCGCCATTGGTCAGGTGCGCGGATGGTCCGTGCGAGGGCGGTTTCAGAGTGACGAGCAGGTGTTGGGCGGTATTCTAGAAGTCGTGTCTGCCAGTCCCATTACGTCTTTTTGTATCGTACTCATTCGTATAAATGCGAGCTTGTTTGTCCCCTGAATCCTCATCTGTACGAACCCTAAAACATGTCGAATCACAGCTCTTCGCGCTCCCCCTCGCCGGCTTCCGCGGCCTCTTCTCCGTCCGTCTCCTCCGAGTCCACTTTGCTCTCGTCCGTTGCCCCCTCTGCCCACACACTCATCGTCCTCCCCTCCCCCGCTTTCGCTGACCCCAAGTTCCTAGCTGCAGTCGCCGAGGAGTTGGAACCCAGCTCCGGTGACCTGCTCGTCCTTCTGGCGCGCGGGCCCGGCGCAGAGGATGAGGACTGGCTGCAAGACGCTTTTGCGCACCTCGGCCGCGAATATTGCGCCGACGAGAGCGCTTTTGTTCCGTCCGCTGAGCTGGGCTGGAGGGAGGTCCAATGCCAGGTTGGCGGTGAGTTGTTGAAAGGGTGGGATAGGCTCATGCTGAAATCGTGTAGGTGCCGGTGCGAAGTATTATGTGAAAGAGAAGGGGAGCCGGGCTGCGAGCCCTGCTCCCTCCGCGGATACGTTCAGATTCAAAGTCGATGCCAACGCGGGCAATGTAAAGGTCAGCTCTGCAGCCTTCTCAATTCTCGTCGCATGCTAAGCCATCGACAGTACACCCCCGCTGCCCTGCTGAACCTCCTCTCCTCCACGCGCCTGCGGAGCCTCTTCTCCCTCCCCTCCCCCTCCCACACGCACACCCTCCACATCCTCGAGCGCGCCCTCGTCTCCTTCCCGCCCCTCCCCCCGCTTCCCGCCGCCTTCGGCCTCCCCACGCGCGCCGACTGGGCGCACCTCTGGGCCGCCTGGGACACCGTCACGCTGCGCATGATCCCGCCGGGCATGCTGCACCAGAAGCCGATCGACCTCCGCCACAAGTGCCTCTTCTACATCGGGCACATCCCGACCTTCCTGGACATGCTGCTGAGCAAGACGACGGGCGAGGACGGGTGCGAGCCGCGCTGGTTCTGGAACATATTCGAGCGCGGGATCGACCCGCACATCGACGACCCCGAGCACTGCCATGTACGTCTGCGCTGCCCTTTCCCGCTCGTCCTGCCCAGCTGAGATATCGCAGCCCCACTCGGAGGTGCCGACGCGCGACGAGGACTGGCCGGCCCTCCCGCAGATCCTCGCGTTCCGCGACGCGGTGCGCGCGCGCCTCCTGCGGGTGTACGACGAGCTCGCCGCGGGGACGCGCCCGCTCACGCGCCGCCTCGCGCGCACGATCGTGTTGTGCCTGGAGCACGAGGGGTTCCACGTCGAGGTGCGTCTGTCCGTCAACCCTCGAGCGGCGTACGTACTGGTACTGGTACTGATGAGGACGGCACGCAGACGCTGCTGTACATGCTCATCCAGCGCGCGGGCACGGGCACGCTCCCGCCGCCGGGGCCCGTCCCGCCCTTCGAGGCGCTCGCGAGGCAGTGGGCGGCCACCCCGCCGCCGGCGACGCGCACGGTCACGCTCGGGCCTGCCACCGTCGTGCTGGGGCACGACGACCAGGAGTCGGAGGACCTGCTCGAGGTACGCTTGCCCCCCCCCCTTTCCCCGGAAAGCGCTGATGCGATCATGACGGCGCGCAGGAGAACGCGCTGAGCGTGGAGGGCCACGCGTTCGGGTGGGACAACGAGAGCCCGCGGCGCGCGGTCGCGGTCGGGCGCGTCGCGTTCGAGTGGCGCCCGGTGTCCAACGCCGAGTTCCGCGCGTTCTGGGAGGAGCGGGGGGCTGAAATCCAGATGCCCGCGAGCTGGGTGCTCGACGCGGGCGAGCTCAAGGTCAGCGCCCCTTCCCTCCCTCCCCCTAACGCTAACCGGTGCTCACTCAGGTCCGCACGCTGTACGGCCCCGTCGCGTTCGCCGTCGCGGCGCACTGGCCCGTGCTGACGTCGTACGACAACCTGGCCGCGTACGCCGCGCGCCAGGGCGGGCGCCTGCCCACCGAGCCCGAGCTGCGGCTCTTCCTCGACACGTACGACGCCGGGCACGCGGGCGGGGGCAACGTCGGGTTCCGGCACTGGCACCCCGTTCCGTGAGTCTCCTTTCCCCTCCCCCCCCCGCCCCCTGACTGGCCGAGCTGACGCGGGGTGACAGGGCGACGGCGGGCGTGGACGGCGGCAAGGGCACGAACGGCGGCGTCTGGGAGTGGACGTCGACCAAGTTCGACGGGCACCCGGGGCTCGACCCGACGGGGCTCTTCACGGGGTACTCGACGGATTTCTTCGACGCGGTGCACCACGTCGTCGTGAGTCCCCCTTGCTTCACCCCTCCCGTTTTCCCCAGCTGACTCGGGTGAATGGATGCTGCAGCTCGGCGCGTCGTACGCGACGATCCCGCGCCTCGCGGGCCGGCGGACGCTGCGCAACTTTTACCAGCACAATTATCCGTACCCGTGGGTGGCGGCGCGGGTCGTGTATGATGCGTGAGGGTCCCTTTGGCGGGGGAGGATAGCTGCTTCTTGGCCGGCTTCGCCTGGTGATATAGAGGATTGCCGATGTATTTGTATGATACTGTACATTGTTCCCTCCTTGCGTTATATCCTGGATGTTTTTGCTCTCGTCCTAGCGCGTATTCGATGCTTGTACCTATGTGATGTACTATGTGCAGTTAGTATGGATTTGCTTTGATCAAGCCCACCGACTGTGGCATATTCTGTGGCGGATGCGTTCATCGCGTCTCAATTAACACGCCACCCACCCGCATTTTACTCTGCGTGCTTCGCCGTGGCCCTGCTCGTTTGCTTTGTCTACGCGAACATCCAGGGTGCTAAGCTGCAGCCACATCCTCTCTTCCCCGGGTACCACCTCATCCGATTCGCCGAGCCGCCGTTCCAGGCGTACTTGTTTCCCGATGTAGTAAAGGAGGGGTACTGCTTGCTTGTGGGCAGCTTTCTCCTATACCGAGACTCTAAGCTGATCTTCTGTCTCCTTAGATTCCCGAGACACCGGTCCCGCGGGATCCGCCCACAGTCTCTTTCTGGAAGCATATTGCCGAGCTCCCACCAGTCGAGTATCGCGCAGGCAGCTGGAAACTCTGGAGTGGCGGCTCGGAGGTCCCGGATCAGATTCCAAACGCAGACGAAGACCATGTCTCTGTGTTTGTCGTTCCCTGGAATCAATACGAGCGACTCAACGAGTCGACCGACCGCTTGACCGAGCTACGAGAGACCGCCCTCTCACGCGATTATGGTCGGGAATCCCCCTCGCAGGGCGCTCCCTCTTCTAGGTTTCGAGCCTGCATGGACCTCAGCCGTCATGCCTTCCACTTTGGCAGGCCGAAGGACGACAGATTATACCCCATCCCGATCGCGCTCCTCCAGCCTGAATTCGCGCGCTTTCAAGAGGACCTCCGTTCCGCCCCTCCCGACCCCTCTCTGTCGCCCCTCGCCTGGCGCTGGCTCTGGGAGCTCTCGCCCTTGTTTGAGTCAGAGAAGAGTCGGGAGAGTGCTTTGGCCGAACTGCTGGCCCCGCTGTTCGGTGAGGGCGTCGACGTTCAGAAGAACAACAGGGGCGCGTACACGACCAGCGGCGACACTGGCCACCGGAGACTCCCGGCAATGCCAGTACTCATTAAGGTCAGGAACGAGACTACCGAAGGAAACTCTGACCGTGTGCTCGTATAAGGAAGGCATACGTCTCGTTTCAACCGAGGATGCTTACAAGGAGGTGAGGCGGACGCGATTGCCGTCTATCTTGATACTGCACAATGGTACGTTCAGTGACGGCGTCGATATACTGAGACGTTTCACGAGTCCGTAGGTCCCATTATCCAAGTCTTCGGCGCCTTGTGGCTGGCGGAGGGGTATATCGAAGTGCTCTCCGCTTCCATCCCTCTCTATTTCAGTCTGCACAACGCGTGGGCGATGGAGGATCTCGTGAGATTTATGACCGCCCTCCGACGTCTCTACCAGTCCCTCGCCCAGATTTACAGGGATCCTCTCAGCCACACCGTCGACCCAGACCAAGTCGAGTTTCCGTACCCTATCTCTTATCCTGTGGGCATCCTTCCCGACGAAGGCTCCGGCGACCGCATGCTAGTATCTTTCACCTATATCAAACGCCTCAGCTCCGTCCGGTTGGTGCTCTCCGCCCGCACCGAGCGCGGCGCAGACATCATCGTCAAGTTCGGCGAGCTGGGCGGATCCTACGGGGCGGAGGCGCACCAGGCCGTCGCACGCGCGGGCCTTGCGCCCTCGCTGCTCAGCTACTCGCGTCTTCCCGGGAAAATATGAATGTTCGTGATGAGTCTTTTGCCCGCGGGATACAAGTCGTGCAGCACCTACTCCCAGCTCCCTGGGCCCTGCACAGCGGCAGTCAGGGAGACCGTCAAGCGGTTCCACGCGCTGGGGTACGTGCACGGGGACATCCGTGATACGAATGTCTTTGTCAGCGAAGGCTATGGCGGCGGCTGGGAGTGCGCGCTCATCGATTTTGACTGGGCCGGCCGTGCTGGTGAGGCGAGGTACCCCCTCGGAGTGTTCGACAATGACGCCGTTTGGAGGCCGCAGAAGTATATGGACGGCCAGTTGATCACTGCTGATGATGATCTCCAGACGATGGAGGAATTCTTTGACCGCCGACGTTAAGTACTGGTTGGAGTGTCGGTAGGTTCCTGTTCCATGTCCCCGCAGCTCGTGGTAGGTTCTGTGTGCCTCTCCACCAGGATTTCATAATGTGAAAGTAATGCTTACTATGTACATTGACGAGGGGTGCGAAGACAAATGATATCAAAGACCTGGATCATGGACAAGCTGAAGTCCAGATAACACTTCCGACACCCGATGAGTAGTTTGCCCGACAAGCACGCAGTTGACTCCGTCTGCACTTCGAGGTAACGACCGTTACTCGGCTGATGGTCAAACTACGAATGCGGGAATCTCTCTCCCCGGCCGAATTAGGCTGAAGGACGGCGGAGAGCCACCATTCGACCACAGCTCTCTGAAGCCAACGACAGTCTTCACCTCTCCTCGGGAGACGTGCGGTCAATAATCGTACGAGCACTTTGTAAATGGCGGGAGCACGCTTTGCCTAGGAGATGCATCATTTGCTTGAGACCCACCACATTGCACGTATGAGACACTGAGCAGCTCCATGTCCAGCGGGAAAGCTGTATATTCCACAGGCGAAAATCTAACTGACAAAACGTACACCGCAAGAGCCAATACACCGAAGATGTTGTTACTACTAACAAATAGGAACCACGAGGGCTGGATATATATACCGCAACAGAATTGCAAGCCAACGAGAGTGAGCGAGTCCGATGGGGAGGTTAGGGGTGGTCGGACGGCGGTGTGGTGAAAGACAAGAGGGAGATAAAATAATAGCGAGGAAAGGATGACGCCAGAACGGGCGTCGCGGTATCACCAAACAACAAGAGGACCCAAGCAAAGCCAAGAACACCGCAGCAGGCAAGCGAATGACCATCGTCGTATAAGAGCGCTTCACACGTCGGTACACCAGATCTCCAGCTTCCCCTCCGGCTTGCCCTTTGCGCTCTCGCGCGCCGTCTCGATCGCGAGCTCGTAGTCGCTGTCGTCCCGGAGGGACACCTTCCCGCCGTCCTCGTCCTTGAACTTCATCCCCAGGCCGCCCATCGCCTTGCCGAACTTCTGGCAGACGCGGTCCATGAACTCGTCGAACGGCGTCTCGGGCGTGAGCGCCATGCCGCGGACGTCATCTTGGTAATGGAGCTGGTCGGCACAATCACTGTCAGCTGTAATCCTTAACCTGCTAAGAAAACGACGCTTACCTTGACCCTAATCTTGACCAGCTCAAACGGCCCATCCTCATAGTCACCACTAACGTACCCCTCCTCCTCTTCCTCATACGTATACTGACTGGGCGCCCGACTCCTCGTCGTCCCCCGCCTCGTCACCTTCCTCCTCAGGCCCCCCGAGCTGCTCCCATACGAGCTTGCCGCATACGCACTCGGCGGCGGGCCGCGCGTGCTCGCCATCCTGCTCGGCGCCGCAGGCGGCGGGTTCGTCGGGTTCGCATTATTCCTCGCCCACGCCGCGACGCGCTCAGGGCCCGCCGGCAGCGGCGGCGGCGGCGGCGGCGCCTCCTCCCCGCCGTACGAATCAATATAATCGTCGTAGAACTCCGTCAGCCGCCCGCCGCCCCCGGCCGCGGCGCCCTTCGCGGGCGGCGACGGCGCACCCTCCTCGGGGCTGCGCGGGCTGGCAGCCGCCTGCGGCTTCTTCACGCTGAGCGCGCGCGCGGGGCCCGCGCCGCCGATACCGGGGCGCGTGCCCATGGTGTTGCTGCGCCCCAGGGGCGCAGGCGCAGGCGCGGGCGCGGGCGCGCCGGTGGGCGACGGGGCGCCGCCGGGGCGCAGGCCGGCGATGCGGTCGCGCGCGTTCGGGTCGACCTGGATCGTCGTCTTGGAGCGGCTGAGGTTCGTCGGGCGGGGCATATCGTCTTCGCGTTCTGTGCGTGTGCGTCAGGAACGTGAGTGGGGGAGAGGGGAGGAGCGGGTACGTACTGGGAGGGAGGTTGGGCACGGTCACGCTGCGGTCGAGGCTCGGGGGCGTGTCCACGAGGACGCCCGTCGGCGTGATGCCCTGCCGCAGGCGCGCGATGCCGCTGAACTCGGTGAATGCGTCGTTTGCGTCGCTCGCTGCCACGAGTTTCTAGTATGCGTTTTAGTGGATAAATACACCGACAAGAATGTGCAGACGAACCGCTTTGCCCATGTAATCCTTGGCCTTGGCATTCTTGAGCTTGTTCTCGCTCGGTCGGTACAGGACGCCCACGGGCTACCTCACGCACATAAGCCCCCCGCCCTCATATTAACGAAAATCGCACTCACGATACTAAACACCGTGTACCCCTCGCCGCGATCCTGGATCGCGTCGTCGATCACGCTGTGCTCCTCCGTCGCCTTCTCCCGCCTGGCTTCCTCCATGTCCTGCAGCCCCTCTGCGACACGGCCCATGTAGATCTGCGCGAGGCCCTTGTTGAAGAGGACCTCGGCGGAGTAGAGCTTAAATTTCAGGCCGATTTGCTCGTAGTTGCTGGAGCACGGTCAGATGGAAAGGCAGCCGGGCAGGGCGGACGGGGAGAGACGTACATGGCTTGGTTGCCCCGGAGGAAGAGGAGGGCTTCTTCGAAGTCCTTGAAGGCGAGGTCGTAGCGACCCAGGAGGAAGTTGGAGACGCCGCATTGGAAGTATCTAGACAACGCGAGGGGTGTAAGTTAGGTTGCTATAAACGGGCATGAGGACAGATGGAGCGGCGTTTCGTAGATATCCCGCTATGCTGTTGCACGATAAACGGCTCCCGGAGACGCGTGATGCAAGAAGAGGCTGTGTACCAATTTGCTGGCATACAGCGCGTCCCTCGCGAACATCTCGTTCATAAGCCCATAACACCCTTGCGAATGCCTCCCCGAGGCCCGTCAAGACGAAGAGGGGGGTATGACACTCACGCAACGGCTAGATATTGGTCAAGTTGAGTGGCGGCGATGAATTGCTCGACGGCGGCTTCGTGCTCGCCGAGGGTCGCGTAGATGAGACCCATGTTTGTGAGGATCTTGGACGAGTCCGCGATGCGCTGCACGGTCAAATTTCCGAGGTTACCGCCGTTGCCGGGCGCATATACCGAGTGAGACAACGCACCGAAAAGAGGTCCAAGGCCTTCTCAAAGTCCTCCTCGTCGTACGCCTTCAGGGCAGCGGCCCAGGTCTCGAGCTCGGCTTTCAAAGACATGCTTGCAGTGGTATTGGTAGTTGTAGTGGATTATCGGTTCCGCAGTAACAGAGCGAGTGCAGAGAGATGTCGGGCGTTGTCAAAGGCAGCGTGCCGGACGCAAATATGAAAGACTGGTCTTGACAATAAGAAATGTTTCTAGATAAAACAGCTAGAAAAGAAAACGAAAAGGAAAGAATGAGCGGAAGAGAGGGCGGAGGAGACGCAGTCTGCGGGACTCACGCGGCGGCGAGGAGGATTATAACGGCGCTCGCTGCACAGATCTGATCACTGTCGCTAGGCAATGCGTGACGTGATGGACGTGACCCCGTCAACGTCGTCTCGATGCCGCCGGGAACGTCGTGCGCGTCCTCGAGCAAATGCAGCCCAGCGAGCAGGCAGCGTTTCGTCGCCGTCTCGCTCGGCCTGCACACCTTATATATCGTTGCCGCGCGTGCTCATTTGTATTCCCGAGTCGTACAACACGCGCGACAACGAGGCGTTGCTATGTTCAACTGGGATATGCTCTTTCCATCTGTTCTCACGTCGACAGCCGGCGTCTGGGACGAGCCAGACGAGGCCGGAGTCTCTTCGTCTACAAATTGGACGTCTCTCGCTGCGAGTCTATACAAATGTTGTCTGGATGTGTGCTTCCAGTTCGCTGACACTGGCGTCGTCCCTGCGGGCTGTTCGCTGCCTGTGACATGAGGTATAACTTCCATGAAAGGCTCCGGATGCCAACGCTCGTCGTATCTCGGGCACCACTGCGACATACTGCACTCATCTCTAGGAATAGCATACGCGTAACTGTTTCAATCCTGCTATCCTGCATGCATGGTCAACACCTAGCCAAAATAACAAGGCCTTAGGCAGACATCAGCGTGTCTCCACTGTATCATCCTCTGCGGTTCCGCTCTCGGTGCGTCAATCAATCCCTACGAATAGTGACGTGTATTCATCTTTCTCCTTGACAAGCACGGCCTTCCGCCTTCCCAGGGGGTGTCCAGCTATCATCTAACTCTCGCAGGCTTGCAAGTTGCTTGACGGCGAGTTTCAGAGGTAGTGTGCGTGTTGTGAATCTGCACGTCTGCTATGCACGTGTATGCTGCCACCCTCACAACCGTTCCCTCCATATCACGATTGTGCTCCATCTCAGAATAGGACAGGGTGATTGAAGCCTCAAGCCAACCCTCGAGTACAGAGAAGAACCGAGGATTCCAGGCCAAATTTGTGACAGTTCCCTGGCCCCCTCCGAGCGTAGGTGCACGCGGCTTACACCAAGTTTGACCTCCGCCAGAGGTACGTTCCATTACGGCCCCGCTTTTCTTATACGCGATGTCAGGTGCAGCCGGACCCGAACCTTTGTCTCTCGGCCGGCAGCTGCTATCCTGGGAGATGAAAAGTTCGACTTTACCTGCACCACCTCTACTCCCCATTCCGTACACGATGCCCTTGAACCTCTCTTCTCCCGAGATAAAAGCTGGCCCGGGACTGAAAGAATAATATTCCCGCCCGGCCGCGAGCCATTCCTCCCATCCCGCAAACACCAGGCTTCTTCCGCGTACGTTTCCTTCGCGGGACACCTGAGCCTCGTCTCCTTCAAAGGTCCCATCCCAGTAGCCCGCAAGGGTGCAAAGCCGAGGTACGCCTGCGCAGCCGTTCTTGGGGCAGCGCATCTCTCATAGCCAGTATTCCCGTCATCTTCCTACCGCTCGTCCAGATTATGACCTACATACACGTGCACCTGACATGATTATCTCCAGGTTTCGGCCAACGTGCCCCCGTCCTCCGGCTGGTGCACGAATTCGCCGGCGCCTGTTGAGGACTCGCGGCTCGAGGACTGACCCCACGCAGGAGACGCCGCTGACTATGCTAGCTACATCCCCTCTTCCGCCAAGCCCAACCGGTATCTCGTATACGAGTCTCATTCAACGACGGCTTCGTAAACAGTATACGTACGTTGGGTGCGATTTCGATTGCAGTCATCTATCTCTTCCGGACATGGATCCATCGTATATATCGGATATTCGGTATGCACTGTGGCTCATGTCCAGAAGAGAGAGGAGGAGGCGATGAGGTCTCTAGCATGCACAGAGGTGTCATCGCGGTAGCCCACGGCGCCGGGGCTGCTTTCATACCTCGCACCAAACTCCAGGTCCGCCTCGCTGTCTCTCCTGAATGTACCAAAACACATAAACACAGCAGGATTGTATTCGTACGCCACGGAACAGGCGCACAAGACCTACAGCAAAGCGCTCGGACACGGAACAAGTCAGCACTCGGGACGTTGTTCAGATGCGTCTGTCACACTCACTCGCGAGTCGTGACGTCGCTGTACGCGTGGTCAGTCAGTCGAGGTCAGGGCCTCGTTCTAGTGGGAGCATAAGCTCATGATATTGCGTTTCGTTCTCGACTCCACCGGTGGGACGGAACCCTAGAGAGTCTGGAGAAGGATGCGGAACGACCATGTTCATCCATCCCGCTCCTGGGCGCAGGCGACGACGAACGCCGTCGTACTGTCCCGCTCTACTAGAACTAATTCTCCTTGTATAGGTATACTGTGTATGAATGCTTGTCAGATTTCGATAGCTTTCGGTATAAACTGTGTCCAATCCCGTCAAGGGTGGGTGCATGAAAATGCGCAAGTTGCACGATCCTTGCTGTGACGCAGCGAGACCGTTGCAAGACAGCACCCCTGCTCTACATGTACTCCAAGCACGGGCTTCATTCTAGCTCTGACATACTTGTACAGCTGCCCAGCCCTAGGCCAACCAACCCGTATATCAACTGAGCATTGCGAGTCTGGAAAGCAATGAAGTAAATTGGGTCGATGATGTCTGTATTGCCGATACAAAAATCCATGGTACACACTCCCCGCGGGGAACCCTAATCCTACGCCAGATCCAACCGTATTAAGCATTACATCAATATCCAAAGACTACAAGAATGTCCCCTCAGTAGCATCAAGTACTTGCCTACCACTCCTACATGTACAGCGCTGCACAGAAATCACTCGATAGAGTCTTACCCAAGACTAGCATTCCGATACCACCTTCCCTTCGGAGCCCAGACACATCTAGGTCCTCCCGATATGGGTGCCGGCAAGCTCGCGCTCGAGCTCCGCGCTCGGGTCGTCCATGACGGGCGTGGGCGGGCGCGCGTTGGGCGCGGTGTAGCCGGAGGTAATGCCGTTGGGCGGGGCATGGTCCTGCACGGGTGAGTTGATGATGTCGTCTCGCGACGGGATCGGGAGGCTGTAAGAGGAACGGGGGTCAAGCGAGTGTCAAACGAAATGGATGGGAGAAATGGGCATAGAGAGGAGATCGGGAGATGAGTCGTACCTATCTTGTCTCCTGATCTGCCCCGCTGCGCGTGCCTGCGCGCGCACCTCTGCACGGAAGAGGTTAACCTCTTCGACGATGAGCTTCTTCATGCCCTCGATATTATCCTCTTCCTCGAAGCTAAAGTCGAATTTCTACGTACCCATATCAGTATCTCCCCCTTGGCAGCAGAAGCAAAAAGGAGAGAGGAGAGGAAGAGGGGCGAATACACACCTTCTCACAGACCGGCTCGTCAGCCGGGTCATGCCAGACCTGGAGGTACGGGTGCGCGAGCGCGTCCTCGCAGCTGATACGCTTCGCCGGGTCAAAGCAGAGCATCTTGGACAGCAGGTCGATCGCGAGCGGGTTCGCGCGCGGGTAGAGCGTCGCGAACGAGATGCGCGGCTTGATCGGCAGCGAGCGGATGTAGTCTTGCGCCTGGGGGGTGGTTACATGAGTGAGACACGAAGAACGGGGGAGGGGGGACTTACACGGGGCGAGCCGACGCGCCGGAGGGTATCTTCAGAGGGCGTACCGAGGTAGTGCAAGATCTGGTTCAGCTGGTCAACGTAGCTGCGGGGCGTCAGTACGCGGACAAGGGTGGCTAACGCGGGACGCACTCTCTGCCCTTGAAGATGGGCTTCCCACCCAATAACTCCGCGAGGATACACCCGATTGACCAGACGTCGATCGCAGTGGTCTGGCCGATAATTGTAAATCCAACGACCAGCCGTTGGCCATGCGACTCACGTAGTTGGCAAAGCTAAGCATGATCTCAGGCGCACGGTACCAGCGCGTCGCGACATACTCGGTCATAAAGCCCTGGTTGCCGGCCGCACGGCTGGCACCGCCGCCGGGCGTGTACCCGCGCGCGAGGCCAAAGTCGCAAATCTTGAGTTCGCAGTCGGCGTTGACGAGGAGGTTTCCCGGCTTCAGGTCACGGTGGAGGACGTTCGCCGAGTGGATGTACTTGAGCCCGCACAGCGTCTGGTAGAGGAAGGACTGGAAGTGGGCGTCGGAGAGCGGCTGGCCGGAGCGGATCTGCGGGGCCGATGAGATGGATCCGGAGAAGGGAGACGGTACATACGATGGCGTGCAGATCGGCTTCCATGAGCTCTTCCTAGTGCTGGGTAAGATGTCGGAGGCTTAGAAGGTGCATGAGATTTACGCACATACAGATAGACTTCGTCAAAGTTGCCATCCGGGCCAAAGACGATGTCCATATCATACAAACAGGTGATCTGAGAGAGCTGGCATGAGCGCTCGGCCAGTGTATAGATACAGAGCAGTTCAGACATTTTTATGGCCGCGGAAATGGTGGAGGAGCCTGCATATCGAGCGAATCAGAAAGGAGCGCCCACAGCCACACAAAGGACTCACTTGATCTCGCGCAGACACCGCTTGGTCAGGATTCTCTGTTCGTCCGCAAAGCCGTCAGAGGGCGCTGGGTCTGACAATCTTTTCAATACCTACCTTTGTGTTGATATTCGTGATCTTTTTGATTGCGCACCCCTCCCCCGTCCGCCGGTGTCGGGCAGCAACCACGCATCCATACGCACCCTGCCCGAGCTCCTTGACGAACTGGTACTCGGAGTCGACGACGAACGTCGAGTTGAGCGCGGTGAACGAATGTCTCTGCATCGCGCTGGCTATGTCGGCAGGAGAGCGCGCTGGATGGTGAAGAATGGAGGGATGCTGCAGCTATCGACCGCCCATAATTATATCGGCTAGATGTGCATCGATGGTTCCCACGCCTGCGAGCACAGCGCGGACACTGCCACCATCTTTGATCTCCAGAGCCACGCGAGATGAGCCGTTGATCTTGCCTTGTTTTACGCGAGGCCACAAAATGCCACAAATCCTGCAGCTCTGTGGACGACTGCACGTCGAACGCAATCCAAGTCTCAAGCGACTTTACTGGTCGAGGGTGCTCTATGGCGTGTCCCTGCACTTTCCTGAGAATCATCTGGCCGGAGGTAGCCTAAGGGCGGTGCGCAGCATCAAAGGATGAAACAGAACATTCAAAACCGAGTATCGACGCACCTTGGCTCTTAGGAGCGACGATCAGGAGTTGAGTTGAGTTTCATCGTTTAGGCCGCGGCTTCCTAGGAGGCTAGGGCAAGCAAAACCCTTCCAAGGACTGTTCGTCTCCAGCTGGAGCTAATAAAATCCCGAATCGGGGTCGCAATTACATGCTGTACGCGGCTCCAACCAAGGGTGTTGAAGCCCTAATGTGACTCGAGTCTCGCGAGTGCAGTGAAATCGATCCCGACTCACGAGAACATCAACCTGAAACTTGCGCGAATAAATGGGCATGGTGTCCAACATGAGCTGCGGTAACAAGGAGACACTCTGACTGAAAGCCCGAAGGTCCTCACTAATAGCCGAGAGCACTTAGACAAGTCAGACTACGGTCTGTAGTATATCGGCAAGCGCGTAATGGGGAAGGAGGAGCAAGCGGTAAAGAGAGAATAGGCCATTCGAGCAAGCGACGCGCTCTTATAAGACCAGCAACATGACCCTTTCACCCAACCTTCACCTTAATGACGCGATGCGTGCGATCTTCAGCCACATATCCGCATAAGGCTTGCCCACTCCTATATATGGCAACCGTATGTAGTCCGACCTTCCAAATGCCCCAGGTATTTACCGCGTCGATGAAGTCGACTCTCTTTACATTGCACAAACTTCACATCATCAACCCAAACTACTTCAAAGACTCCCAGTACTAATAGTCAAGACATTCCAAGAAATAATAATATCACTACACCCGTTCGTTACAAGCAGCATTTTTGTGGCAATAAATTACGCCAGGCCTTTCGCAGCCTTGATAAAAGCTCGCACCTTCTCCAAATCTTTTCCGGTCCCATCCTCCCTCTCTACTCCCCCGCTCACATCCACAGCCCACGGACGCACCTTCTCCACCGCCTCCCTTACATTCTCCGGCGTCAGCCCACCAGCCAGAATAATCGGCATCGGGAAATGCGGCGGCTTCACTGATGGCGGAGGAGCGCCTACGGGTGCCGTCCCGTTCGTCGTCGCAGCGCCCTGCGGCGTCGTCTCCCCATCCGCCAGAGCCTCCTTGTCAGCAGGCACCGCCGTCGGCGGCACCTCAATCTCCCCACTCTCCACCACCTCCCTCGCGTACTCCCAGTCCACCACCTTTCCGCTCCCCCCGCTGAGCCCGTCGCTCCGCATCGAGTCGAGGAGCACGAACTGGTGCAGACCCGGCTTCTTCATCTCCGTGTCCTCCCCCGCCCCCGAGCCGACGTGCGCCACGCGTATGACGGGCACGGGGATGAACTTGGCGAACTCGGCGGGTTCCGAGCCGTGCAGCTGCACCAGGTCCAGCTGCGCCGCAGACACAGAACCAAGAACGAACTCGAGCGGTTGGTTTTGGAACACGCCGACGAGCAGCGGGCGGGGCTGCGCCGCTGTGCTCCGCGCGTGCTGCGTGAACCACGGGAGCCGCCCCTGCGTGGACGGTGCCGTAACCTGGGACGGCGCAGCGCGCGCCGACCGCACAGCGGCCGATATCTCCCTGGCAGAGTCGAGCGAAACCCGCCGCTTGCTCGAGGGCACGAACATCAGCCCAAGCATATCCGCGCCGGCCTCCGCCGCAGCACGCGCCTCCTCCACGCTCCGCACCCCGCATATCTTCACCAACGGCGGCGTCACCGCATCTTCCGTCTTCGCAAACAACGGCGCCCCCACCAGCTCCTTGATCGTCGCGCCCGGATCCGCCGCCTTCATCAAGGCCTCGCCGACAAGCACCGCGTCGACGCTCTCGTTCTGGTACCTCTCCACCTCCTGCCGGCTACTAATCCCACTTAATGCACAAAGCACGACCTCCTCCCCCGTCCGCTGCTTCCCGTTCCACTCGCGCACGATACTCGCCAGCCGTGTCGTCGTCTCCATGTCCACCTTGAAGTCGTGCAGGTTGCGGTTGTTCACGCCGATCACCTTCGCGCCCAGCTGCAGCGCCGCGCGCATCTCCTTCTCGTTGTTCACCTCCACGAGCGGGTGCATGCCCAGTGTCAACGCGTACTCGTACAGGGCCTTGAGCCGGCTCTCGGTGAGCATCGCGACAATCAGGAGGACGCTGTCCGCACCCCACACGCGTGCCTCGAGGACCTGGTACTCGTCGAGGATAAAGTCCTTCCGGAGGATGGCAGGACGGTCGGGGAGCGCGTCGACCGCGGCGCGCGCGAGCCGCAGGTCGGTCAGGGTACCAGAGAAGTGGTGGAGCTCCGTAAGGACGGAGATGACGCGCACGTGAGAGGACGCCAACGCGTAGGAAAGCGCGAGGGCAGACGTGCTCGGCGCGGAAGTCGTCAGGCGGCCCTTCGACGGCGATGCGCGCTTGATCTCCGCGAGGACCGAGATCGCCGGCGACCTCTTAAGTGCGGCGAGAAAGGAAGTGAGCGGCGGGGCGAACGGCAAGAGCGCGCGCAGCTCTTCGGGCGTGCTCCCCGGCGCGGCCTTGGCAGCTTGCACGTCCTTTAGCCGCTGCGTGTAGATCTTGTCCAGGATGGAGGGCAGTTTCGGGTTGGCGCTGAGGTCAAGCGGCGGAAGGGTGGGGTCCAGGACGAGCGAGTCGGGGTTGTCGGCCCACTTACCGCCTTTGAGCGCGAGGAAGTTGAGTAATAGGGGATCGCCCTGCTCCGATAGGCACGACTCGGGGTGGTACTGCACGGACTCGAGGGTGTAGGTACGATGACGGACGCCCATGATGACGGCGGGCGGCCCGGGGGAGAAGGCGGTGACTTGCAGGGTGTGAGGGAGGTTAGATGCAGAGGCGGCAAGCGAGTGGTATCGGGTGGAGAGGAAGTTTTGGGGGAGGCCTTTGAACATACCGCGGCCGTCGTGGCGGATGGGAGAGACCTTGCCGTGCATGATTTCACCTGCGTAGCTAGTTTATAGATGAGGAAAAATACATCCAGGTAGCAAGGCTGCACGTACCTTATTTGACCGCCAAAGACGTCGACTAGGCATTCCAAGCCCATGCATACACCGAGCACAGGAATCTTGCCCGTAAAGAACTTGATCGCATCGCGCGAGATGCCCGAATCTGTCCGCGGGTGGCCAGGACCGGGGGAGATGATGAGGTGCTTAATGTCCAAGAGAGGGAGGGCGGACGTCGGGATGGCGTCGTTCCGGATGACTGTCACGTCGGCGCCGAGCAGGGAAAGCGACTGGTAGAGATTGTAGGTAAACGAGTCAAAGTTGTCGATCATAAGCACATCGATAGGCTTCTGCAAGGCCGGGGGAAGAGACGAGATGGAAGCCATGTTGCTGTAGACCGGATGCTACGACGTGGACAAGCTATAAAGGGGGCCCGGGTAATTGACTGGAACCGGAAGCAAAGGCAAGTACAGCCCAAGCAGCCTTGCGCAGATGCGAGCAGTACGGGCACTTGATCAACAGTTCCAAGTCCCTGCAGACACCGTCGGCAAAGATCAGGACGCAGAGCGGATTCGAAAGTGTTCGGCGCTTACCGAGATGAGTCGAGCGCCTACGTGCGTCAGCGGCATTACTCATCGTCTCGATCATGTCTCTGTACGTCGTTGTCTTTTCGCGCGTCCAAAATATTTCCTGAGGAACTGTCAGGCGGGTAGCACTACAGCGTGGCCAAAGCGTTGAAGTTATGTAAATTTGATGGGAAGGAAGTGCAAGGACGGTGCTTCGACGTTGCGGGAGGTGGGGGTGCGAAGGAAGGATGAGTCGGGGGGTTTTGCTACGGGGCCTCGGTATATATACCCTCCTGCGTGATATGCGTGAAGGTGAGAAGGTCTTTCTGTCCACGTCATCCTTCATGACTCTGAGTTGTCGATGGCCAGACAGGACGATCTGGTCACGACTCACGACATAAATGTTACCTCTTTTGGAAGTGCCCTTACCCAGTATGGTCAGGCTTCTCTGCCACAGTTCACTAAGCCGATGTACAGTGTAAACCGTGTGGCAGAGGCTGCATAACGCTCCTCCTCTCTCCAGAAGATAAAGAGGTAGGACCTGTTCACTGCCATCAGCCGGCAAATGTTTCGCCGGTGAAAGCCCGCACACAAATAGTCGTGTCGAATGCGCGTACGGCCAGGCATTCACGTGTGTGAGCGAGACAACGCTCATGCTTTGACATACACACCTGTCCAAATCAGCACTGGATGGTCCAAAAACGAGACTAGCGATACAAAGTTTTTCCTTTTCTGTTACATTGTCAATCCATACCGTACACCTCATATACACTCTTCTCCTTCCGCTTATTGCGCGAGGGTGATCCCGCCAAGCCTCATTTCGCGATGGCCGCAGCCTCGTACAGATACGTGCCCAGAAGCTTGCTCTATGGAGAACACACAGAATCAGTCTCTGCGCAGGATCGTGAGGAACCAAGCGGACGCACCCCTTCAATAAAGTTACTCCTATCCAGCTTCTCGTTCGTAGAGCTAAGAGAGCGCGTAAATCAGGGAACCCGTGACAGACGAACTGGGGGACATACTGAGCACCATCATCTCCCCTCCCCATCGGCAGGAGCAGCACGTTCACACCCAGACTCTCCGCAAAGGTGAGCGTCACGGGGATCGACCCGCCCTCGCGCGTCAAGTCCGGCTGCTTCTTGTACACGGCCTACGCAACCCCAGTTAGTCTCACACCGCCCGAGTCCGTACCTACGTACCTGGGTAGCCTTGATCGCAGCCTCGTAGTTCCAATGCTTAAAGTCCGCGACCCACGGCTTCCCGTCGTGCAGACACTCGACCTCGAGCTTGTTCTTGCTGTTCAGCTTCGCAAACTCGGACTCGAGGTACTTGTGCACCAGCGGGTTGACCTTCTCGGGCGTCTGCGGGGGAACGAGCCTGGTATCCACCATCATTCAGTATGTAGTATTGAGACGAGGGTACTACGACCACGCACCGGATGCTGAACTTCCCAGAGACCTTCGCGGGAATAACCGTCTTTGCGCCGGCTCCGTAGAACGCGCCCTCGATGCCGTGCAGCGACAGCGAAGGGTTGCGCATCCGGCCCATCAACACCGTCGCCTTATCCTCCGAGATCGCGATCTTGCCCCCGACCGCGTCCTCCACGTCCGCAATCGAGTAATCCAGCGACGAATACAGCTTCCTGTACGCCAATCAGCGTGTGGGCGGCGAATCTCGAAACCGTCATCACGTACTTTTCCTCCTCGTCGGCAGGGGCAACCATCTCGTCCACGCCGGGGACGAGGATCTTCCCGTCGGGCGTGACGAGCTTGCTCATGAGCGCGATGAGGTCCGTCATGGGCTCGTGCACCGCGCGCCCGAACATGCCGGAGTGCAGGTCACGCGCGGGGCCCGACACGGTCACCTTGAAGTAGGTCAGCCCCCGCAGGCCGTACGTCAAGCACGGCGTGCGGTCGTTCAGCCAGTAATTGTCCGACTATGGACGTCGAACGGTTTCAGATGTGAGCCGGGGCGCGCGCAGCACGACGACTTACGATGCACACGCAGTCCACACCGGCGAACCACCCCTCCTTGCCCTTCTGCGTCTCGCTCCTGATCAGGTCGTCGAGGCCCTCGCTCCCGCTCTCCTCCATCCCCTCGAAGCAGAACCGCAGATTCACTGGGAGTTCCAAGCCGAGCGCCTTGTGCGCCTCGAGAACATTCAACCAGCCGAGTATCGGGCCCTTGTCGTCCGTCGACCCGCGCCCGATGAGACGCCCCGTCTTCTGGTCGACGACCAGCTTGAACGGCTCCGTGTCCCACCCGTCGGACTTGTACGCCTGCCCCAGCATACCCATACCACAATAGTCAGAACGTGAAAGATACGAGATTGCTCGAGTACATACCGGCTGCACGTCAAAGTGCCCGTAAATCAGTATCGTCTTCTTCTTCGGATCGTCACCGATCCGCCCAAGGATGGCCGGGGGCAGCTGCAGCTCCTCCCCGTCCATAACATGCTTCCCCAAGTCGACCAGCTTCGTCGTCACGCCCAACGACTTGAGCTGGCCGTCGAGCCACTGCGCCATCTTCACGACATCCTGGCGATGGTTCGGCTCCCCGCTCACACTGCACAGGGTAAGCTCAGTGCGTCTCACAATACACAGGCACTTTACCTGGGGATGGCGACGGCGTCTGCGAGCCGCTGGATGAACTTGTCCGCGTTGGCGTCGACGAACTCGGTGAACTTGGCGGGGGCGGGCATGCTGGTTATCGAAATGAGGCGATAGGCTCGGGTGCGCGATCGCGTCCAAGGCAAGATAATCCAAAAGCGGTATGTCTAGATCTTGCTTACCAGAAGCAAAACATACTACATTCGGAAATGCTGCTTCTTGTTATGGATGGGTTGGCAGTTGGAGGTGTTGCGCACGACCCCGGTTGCAGAACAACGTTTAGATGTTGTCGATTCCTTACTCAAAGCCCCAATCAGGGATCAAGATAATAACATTCGAAGCACGTGCATAGTACAGTACAGACAGTCAAGAACCCAATGTTGGAAAAGACCACCTAGAACTCCAAGCATAAGGGGGTACACATGTGGTCAAGGTACTCGAGTCAAACAGTAAGAATTCTCAACTTAAGAGGTCGGGCAATTGGAGTCCAAGTACATCGTCGCGTCCCCGGGCCCGTTCTGCAGCGGGTTGCATCCGGGGAGCTTGCTCAACGTGCCGTTGACTTGCTCCTAAACGAGGTAATATTATTAGTATACACGCACGCGCCCATCGGTAGAAATGGATACGAACATTCACGATGGGGGCAATCTTGCACGCATTAGCCGTGGAAGCGGAGTTGACGGTGAGGTAAGAGCAGGCCTCCGTCACTCCGGAACCGGTCTGGTCGTTCGGGTTATTGCACTGGTCGATGGCGTTCTGCAGAGCGGTAGTATCCCAGCTGCGAAAAGGTCAGAGCAAGTCACCAGTAATGTCTCGTCTTCGATCCACTGACCCGTTCTGGAAGTCCCCGTGCCAGGAGTAACCGGTAGGATCCCTGCAGTAACAATATCATAAATGGCTGCGCGGAGACAAGTGATCTCAAATATCACGTACCCAGTAGACCAGACAAACGGCCACTTCTGCGTGTTAGGATCCCAGCGGCTGGCAAACGAGTGAACATCCCAGGTGATCTCGTAGAACAGCTGCCGCATATCGACATCAGTCAATAACTCAATGATCGGATGCTGCGCGTAAAAACCTTCATCAAGCCAACAGGGTAACCAGAGGGGCATTCCCCGTTGTCAAGTTGGGTCAGATAAGCCACCTGGCATGGATGTGAATACATGGTGAATCATGGACGCCAAGGTACTTACGTGCGACTGATCATCCTTGTACAGGTCCACGCCATTCCAGCAGGCAGGCACTGTGAGAGTCGTCACCCGGCTATACTCAGTAATAAATAAATCAACGTACTGTGGAGCCTCGCCTACCGACGAGCAACAGCGATCAACGAAAAGAGGATGAGCTGAGCTGTTGAACGGCGTACATTAAATCCGGATTCACAGTCCGTCCACGGGAAACCAGTGCCGTTCGTGTTGTCGTAACCTGAAGGTTAGATGCTGAGACTAAACTCCCGAGAGCATCGGTGCCTGTGATACTTACCCTCAGCAGAGCCATAACGCAGGCAAGCCCACTGGATAGCGCGTTCACCAAGCTCGCCTATCGACGCCTGATCAGCAGGAGAGGTTGCTACCGAATCTTATCAACCGACCTTGGCTTCCCTCACCGACAGGGTACTTCTTGCTCCTGCGCGCCGGGTTGCCCGTTATCATCCGTAAGCCGGGCGGGAACGCTTTCAGGCCTGGGCCACCGTTGGCCTATGAGGATGGATGATTAGCTTGGTTCACGCTTACCCAAGGGAAAACCTGGCAACTTACAACGTCGTCATTTCCACGGTTCTGGTAATACACCAGCAGACCGCCGTCGCTGACAGCTTCGAATTGTCCGGTGGAGGGGTCCTGGAAGTACAGCTTGGGGTACCAGTAGTTCGACAGGTCTTGCGCGACCTCGCAACTGGTGCAGCTGGAAGCGCGCAGACTGTCGTAGCTGTAATTGGGGCCGAAGTCTATGACACAACCATCGTTGACTCAGCGCATTGTCCAAAGGTCAACTATGGTAGGATACATACTCGAGGCACCCTCAACCTATTCATTGCAGGCTCAAGGTCAGTGACGCGCAGAAGATAACATCAGTTCTAACTCGCACCGTGTGGGCGTGGTTGGATGGAACTTGGCCAGGGTTGAGGATGGGGTCGACCCTTTGAGGGGAACAAGTTAGTGACAACGTAACAGCGCGTAGCCGTATAACTTCTCACCGTTCCTGCACGAGCGGGGACCCACATGCGACGCGGAACCATGCATTAGCAAACGTTGCGCTGCTCAAGGCAGCGAGCAACGCGACAAAAGAGGGGCGCAACATCTGGCTGGTAGAGGACAGGATTTACGAGCAAGGCTAAAATCCCGCAGTACAAGCCAGATGAAGACCAAGCACTTGCGACCATACTTGCATTTATACTCGGAGGTTGACACTGCGAGCAACATCTCGCGGCGTCTCAACTAACAATAGCTCAGGTCGAACACGAACCCATGAGCGTCGCCAAGCCTGATTCACAAATCACCTAGAGTAAGTCAACACGCCTCTGATGAATTAACGTACTCTGCTACTTCTGGTGGAATGGCTAGGGTTCTCTGACTTGATGACCTTATGCTGCCTTAGTTCCCTGCCGGAGAATTTCCCAAGATGAGTGATTGCCTCCATCGTACACTCTAGGGACCGAGGATGGGCACGGACCAACCGTTCCGAGTTGTGGAGGTGTAGAAGAATGATGAGTAGGGGGTAGGGAAAGGCCGAGGTCTCCTGGTCAAGCTGCACATGGCACAGCGGCGACGACGATCTCCTCCATGCTCTCGGGGACAATGTCAGTTGATTGATAGGTACCGCAGTCATCGTAGGATACCAACGTGCTTACCGCCACCACCATACAAGACCCTTGCGTGAGATATTCCCGTAGGAAGGGTCCTTTAGAGTTGCTTGGGTGCCAGGTTAAGTTGAAGGATACCCCATTGATACAATGCGCAGACTCCTATGAATGCAGGCTCGGACTATGGTAGATTATCTGTGTCGTCGTATAGACCATCCAGGCCAATCCAGACTGGACCAATCATGTGGAACTGTACTGACTGTACATACCGCGGGTGCTGTCGCGCTCCGTTAACGTCGGTACGGAAGCCATAACCTCCTTCAGGCCCTTGTCCTGGCCCTAAGAACGGGTCCGCGACGTGCTCTCCCGGATCGTGTAAGCAGTCCGTCGAACCACTGGGTCATCTTCACGCTATCCTGCGGGTGGTCAGGCTCCTCGCTTACAATACTTCCTAGAACTTGCTTTCCGGAATCCGCCACGAGAACATACTGCATTCGGAAGTCCGCTTTCCCGTTATGGACGAGATATACGCTGATACATAGTTCCTGTCGGACGATGCCCGGAGAGGAAACTCAAACGGTGTTACTTACGCCAATCAGTTACTTATAACGCCGAGAAGGGGAACAAGAGTGAAACGCGAGGCTCATAAACGTATCCATTCCGAGCGCACATGCAAAGTACAGTACTCACTTCGCCCACCAAGACCCCAGTAAATATAGCCTACGACTCCGATTAGAAAAGTAAACACGTCCTCTTCACTTCGTGTGAGCCTAATTGTACTCGTTCTGCAATCAATGGGTGGGGCAGTTGGAGTCCGAGTACATAGTCGCGTCCCCGGGCCCGTTCTGCAGCGGGTTGCATCCGGGGAGCTTGCTCAACGTGCCGTTGACTTGCTCCTGCAGGGCAACACCATCAGTATACGCATACGCACGCATCTATAGAAACTTATACGAACATTCACGACGGGGGCGATCTTGCAAGCATCAGCCGTAGACGCGGAGTTGACGGTGAAAAATTTGCAGGCTTCCGTCACGCCGTTCCCGGTCTGGTCGTTGGGATTGTCGCATTGATCGATGGCATTCTGCAGAGCGGTGGTGTCCCAGCTGGGAGGCGGTCAGCTTCCGCCGCACAAAGTTGCGATTCTTGGGAGATTACTCACCCGTTCTGGAAATCCCCGTGCCAGGAGTAGCCCGTAGGGTCACTGTAGGAAGATCATTAAGAACAGCTCCTCAATAGCAGAAGTTTGAGGGGACACGTACCCAGTAGCGTACACGAATGGCCACTTTTGTGTGTTGGGGTCCCAGCGGCTGGCAAACGCGTGGACATCCCAAGTGATCTCATAGAACAGCTATCAAACACCAAAGTAAGTCAACAGTTAGTCTAATCAGTTAGGAATCGACTGACTTTGATGAACCCGACAGGGTAGCCGGAAGGGCAGGCACCATTATCCAGTCCCGTCAAGTAGGCCACCTATGCCGGTGGTGAAAACATGGTGAGCCTTGGACTTGGAAGTACGTACGTGCGACTGATCATCCTTGTACAGGTCCTTGCCGTTCCAGCAAGCAGGCACTAGAAAACTCGTGACCCCACGCATCAGATGCAAGACGGAGGAACATACTATGAAGCCTAGCCTGCAAACGAATACCAGCCGTCAATAACTGAAGTCACTCGGAGTGCTGCACAACGTACATTAAATCCGGATTCACAGTCCGTCCAGGGGAAGCCAGTGCCGTTGGTGTTGTCGTAACCTGAAGGTCGCATGCTCAGATTACTCTGCCGGTGAATGTTGGTGCTTGTACCGCTTACCCTCAGCAGAGCCGTAGCGCAAGCAAGACCACTGGATGGCACGCTCGCTAAGTTCACCTATAGATGATATGTCAGCAGCCATCTCTGGTTGGGATAAATCTGCTGACCTTGGCTACCCTCGCCGACGGGGTACTTCTTGCTTCTGCGCCTCGGGTCCCCGGTAATCATCCGGAGGCCAGGCGGGAACGCCTTTAGGCCCGGCCCACCGTTTTTCTACACGGAGTATAAGAGGTTTTGTGGTTAAATTACGTCATCCTATCGCAGATACAGTGTAGCGACTTACCTTGTCAAGATCGCCACGGTTTTGGTAATAGACGAGCAGACCGCCGTTGTTGACAGCTTCGAATTGTCCGGTCTTGGGGTCGTGGAAGTACAGCTTCGGGTACCAGTAGTTGGACAAGTCCTGCGCGACCTCACAGCTGGTGCAGCTGGACGCGCGGAGACTATCGTAGCTATAGTTCGGGCCGAAGTCTATGATAGAAATACTTTGGGTTCATCGCAATTCACGGAGACACGCAGCGGTGGTCAGGTACGCACTCGATGCTCCTTGAATCTATTTATTACGAGGTCAAGGTCAGGGACGAGCAGTAATTAGTGTTGGTTACAATTCATACCGTATGGGCATGGTTGGACGGATTCTGGCCGGGATTGAGGATTGGGTCGATGCTTTCGGAGGGTAGCATGTCAGCCACTGAGCGGCCTCGTATACTTGCAAAATGCCTCACCGTTCCTGCACGAGCGGAGAACCGCAAGCAACGCGGAACCAAGCGTTGGCGAAGCCTGCGGTACTCAGGAGAGCAAGCAAAGCGACGAAGGAGGGGCGCAACATCTGGGCTAGTAGAGGACGGGAGTTACGAGGCAAAGGCTAGTATCCCGCAGTACAAGCCGGATGAAGGGCAAAGACTTCCTCCCAGACTTGAATTTATACTCGGGGGGCTGACAATGAGAATATTTTGCGAAATGCTCAACCAATAACCGTTCGGATGTCTCAGGCCGACTCAACGCTCCCGTGAGCCTCGAGTAGCCCTCGAACCTGATCCACAGATCACCATCAACGCGTCTGGCGAACTAGCATACTCTGCCGCTTCTGGCCCAATGGGCACGATTTTCCGTCTTGATGAACTTGTGCAGCCTTGTTCCCCGAGTTTGCCAAGACGGGTGATTATCGCTTCATTATTATACTTTCGTGGCCGGTCAACGGTCACGGACGATGGCAGCCAACCGTTCCAAGCTCTGAAGGTGTAGAAGAATGATCGGAGAGTATGCGCGTGGGAGGTCTCCTGGTCAAGCCGCACATGGCACAGTAGCGACGATCTCCTTCATGCTTTCGGAGACAATGCGAGTCGATTGATAGGTACCGCAGCTGTCCTCGGATACCAACATGCTTATTGCCTCAGACCCTTGCGTGAGAGCAGGCTAAGAAATTTCTGTTAGTTCTACTAGTAAGAGGGTCAAATGCAACTCCAATGGATGTTGACTCGTGACATCGTCTATACGAAGAAGGCCCCGAAGCCGGCGGTAGAGTCAAGGCACAGTAGTAGATTCATTCATGACTGACGTCGCTACGTCGTATTGATAAGAAAACAAGCGAAAGGATGTTCAGCATGATGGTAGCGACGCGCCAAATATCAAGTCGAATGTACTTCGGATCGACTCGGGTAAGCCGCCGGGAACGGGTCGGTGGCTTTACCCACTGTGCCCCGTCCTGCTTCGAGCCCTATGTAACAGCTGCTCTAACGTACCAGTCCCATGATCCCTACAACGAAGGATCACAGTCGAGCTTCAATCACGAGCATACAATCTTTATTCCCAGGTAACCGTTCCGGCCGCATGGAAGGACCCTTCGGTTCTTCAATTCCATATGGTCCAGTGCGTAACATGAGGCACCCAGAAGAAACATGGTTCAGGACGGTCTGGCAACTCTAGAAAACTCATCGTTTGAATGTAGGCGTTCCTGAATCTCTCGGTCCGGTGTTTGCCTGTTGCCATAGCCAGACGGACGATATTGTCAGCAATGTCAGCCAGCAGCACGACGATATATATCGAAGGATCCGCTCGAGATGTTCTAGGCCACGACTTATCCCGTTCTCTCTTGCCAGATGAAGTTTATCTTTGCAGTCGCAGCCATTTCCTCTAGTTTCTCTGCAGTGCTCGCGGCCAAACGAGGGCTAGCGTGGCCGTCCGAGTGAGTCCAGCCGGCCCCCCCCCACCCCCCAGCGGCTTCACGATATTCACTAACCTTTTCTTCCAGCAACCGTGAGGAACACTGCCGCGATTGATTACCTCAGCTCACTCACTATGTACAGACTTTGACCCCGCTATATTCAAGTCGAGCAAGATTGACTGGCTCTATGTACGGTCCCTCGAAGTCACCGCTGTTATGCTCCTGCTAAATGCTCCCTGTACACGTTAGGACTGGGGTCAAACTAACATCGCAGCGAACGAAGAATTCCCATTCTACGTCATGCAGTGGAACGGCGGGGGCATTGGAAATCTTGCGTCCGCTGTCAGCTCGCAGAAGTCAACAGTCGTGCTCGGATTTAACGAACCCGACAATGCTGGACAGGTAACTCAAAATGTACTAATCCTTGATGCGTAGTTCCAATCACCTCTATAGGCAAATATGAGCCCTGCAGACGCGGCTTCCTTGTGGAAGCAGTACATCCAACCGCTGAAAGCTCAAGGAGTCAAATTGGTAACTCCTGCCGTCACAAACGGCGGCTCCGGACTTGCCTGGATGGATCAGTTCTTTGGGAACTGCACTGGCTGTACCGCGGACGCTGTCGCGATTCATTGGTACGGAGGTAAATCATCCCATGCTCCGCCTGAGGACGTCATTCTAACTTCAAGAAAATCCAGGCTGGACTGGGGATCTGGAACCCTTCGTGGAATCTTTCGAGAAATATAACAAGCCCATATGGCTCACTGGTTAGCCTTCTGCTCTCGAGGAGTGGGTCCGTGTTATACGAGCTCACTACCCTCGTGCAGAGTTTGGCTTATCCTGGAATGCCGGAGCCGACAGCTACCAAGAGTTCTTACCCCTGGCTTTAGGTACGGTCGAACCCACAACTCGTATCCCTCTCCACTAAACCCCGTGCACGATATGTAGATTACCTGGACAACAATGCTAACGTCGAAAAGTATGCATTCTTCGGTGCATTCTATTCTGGAGGAGGTGAGTATTGGATTTCATGTCAATCGTCCTCATGTGGTTGATGGCCCTGTGAGCAGCCGAAGACATGATCAACGCTAACGGGACCCTAAACGCCTTGGGTCAGATATACGTCTCATAATATATGATGCGTTTCATGATGGGTACATATTCCTTAGTTCGTCGCGACAAGTGGAAAGTAGGTCCGGGTTTGAAATGTAACACTAGCTCCGATCGATAGCCAAGGACGACCGTGCACTTGCGTTCCTAATCGCACCTTTAACGACGTCCTAGCATACGTCGTATGCTACTGGAAAGGGTCGACTAACTTGCTGACCCGAAAAACATACATTACATCACTGCGGCAAATTGCGACCTTGAATTGATGGGCTACTATGGCCCGCAAGACATTCTTACACTCCCGATCACTAGCCTAGTTCATATACAGCATACTTGGTGGTCCCTCAGAGGCATCAAAGAGAGGGTGATGGCTGCTTCCCGAGGAGATACGCCACCGTTTGATAGACCGCCCAAGGTACGAATTCTGTGAGAAGGAACAAATGATCGTCAATTTCAAGTTATTGATCGCAGAGGTGAGGCACATACGCGGCGTCATGTGCCCGCTGTAGTAGAATTCGACGTCTAATTCATATTATATTACGGTCAAAGCGTGTCAGTAATCGCAGCTCAGTACTCCCGTGGATACCTCGCGGACGCACATGTGAGTCCTCTCTCGGTGTGAGTGTGCCCGTAAACTCCCATGTCCTTCACCGTGAAGGTCTCGGGCTCAATGGGCGTTTGGAAGCCTTGTGCGCCACCCCAGGTCATATTCCTAGACCATGCGTGGATCGTTAGGCTCTGTGGAGCTGACGTGAATAGAATTTGACGACACACTGGATTGCAATCCGGGTGCCCTCGGCGACCAGGATGAAGTCCTTTCCAGCCGAGGCTGTCAGCATGTTTGCTCATCGATTCCAGAAGCTGCGAACATACCGCGAGCCCGTGGGCTATGACAACTCTTTCAGATTTCTCGATAACATCGGGGAGAACGCTTAACGTAGACGGGATCGACGTGTCCGAGCCCGGTCGCCCGGTCGTTGCGTTGATGTAAACAGACTCGGTGGAACAATCTGTCCAAGTCATATGTGGCGCATGGATGGCATCTTGCACCTAGCGGCAGAAGGTCGCACAGGCAATGGGGCAGTACATCTACGTAATGGCTTACATCAGTTCTGCAGAAGTTGGGTTTTATAAGGCGGAATAAATTCCAAGAGAAGGGCGACGAACCGATTAAAGTAGATGAATTCTTGAGTTGACCTCGGAAATCCCAATACGCTCCCTGCACCCAGGTCACACTCAGCATGCATAAGCAGGCTTCCCTAGGACATAGCTTACATGGGACAGGCCAAGTATCTGACACTCTATACACATCGAACGCCGGATTGATTCTAGCACAAGGCAATGAGCTCCTGACAGCCAGGACGAAGCGGTGGGGCGCACAGTGTAACCGCTCTCTGGATGGGAGAATGCAACCTGCACTCGGGAGTGACAGTGAAAGTGCCGTTCGTCGCGGGAGGCAAAGGTAGTGTTCCATTCGGAGGATAGGTGACATAGTTCTCCAGGTAGTCCGTGTACCCACATGCGTCGGAGATGTTCTGAAGCTGGGCCATGAAAGTACTGTTGAAGGGGAAGAGATTCTGGTTGTTCTGTTACGCGACACAGATTCGGTGGGATGACTTTGTACAATTGACCCGCATAACGTACCTGTACGAATCGGAGGGCAGGAATTTCCTGCTGTACGACCCCATACGAGAGAGAAGGGTCGGCTATCCAGATGCCTTTCAGGTTAATATCCAGGGTCGGATGTTCATATATGTAATTTGCAATGTATGGTACGTCTGCGGTCTGTTGAGGTCTCATTGTTATCTGGAATCGAGGTCATGACTTACAGTAGCCAGCGTACTGTTAAGCCTGGAGTTAGTCTTGTTATTCAATGGTGTTGATGCTGCGACGTACACTCTCACCCGTAACGTAGAAGTTCGACCCTTTGAGTTCGTCGAAGACCTCAAGGAATTGCTCCATAAAACCGAAGACCTCGGCCGCCAGTTCGTCGTCGTTGGAAATATCCGGTGTTCCTTGACTGAAACCCGTCTAAAGACAAGAATCAGGACACGCGCGCAGATCCATTCATTACTGTTGGAACGTACCCCAACAGGTTGTTCCACGTAGACAACATTTGATAGATTAGTCCAAGCCCAGGGATTGCTTGATAAACTGTTGAGGATTTCAAACTGCATATACATGAGTTTGAACGTACGGGGTGGGGGCAGCTTGACCCCAGGACCATGCTAGGAAGCAAACAGATGAGATGGAAATGTAAGTTACGAGGAAGTCGACGACGTACAGATAGGACCATTCTCTTGCAGGAAGCCCTCAAGGGAGGAGCACCCCGGACCACCTAAGAGCACATGAACAAGGCTTCAAGAGTTGCAGAATGCTGGGGCCCACCATTTGTCCAGAAAATAAGGTCACGAGCATTGGAGACGTTGTTTGTGGGCCAAAACCTAGTATGTATTAGCATCACTCATAGTGCGTAGTGATAAAATGTCTGACCAGAAGAACAGTTTCCGCGACTCCTTAGGATTCGCTGATATCGGCATAAGGCCTGACCACGAGGGACCGGCGTCAAACGTCACTACCACGGCAGGTAAGTACCGCACCGTACTCTTTGAGTTACGCCGCCAGTACCGTTAGGGATTGTCCGACCATCTACATAGTATTGCGCAGCGGCTGGATTGCTGAAAGTAACAGCAGTCTGATCTTGACGTCTGTAGGATCCGGAAGTCTCCGCTGAAGTTTCAACAGGGCCAAGAAAATCGGACATCCGTGCTAGCGCCTCCCGTTGCATCACCATGGAGTCTCTCAAGAAGTCTCCCATTTGGCCAGACACACCCCAAATCCATAGCGATACAAGGCAAAAGTCAAGTATTCTGCGCATGCTCGATTAGGCGAGAGATGGAACCTGCAAACTCTTGTGATGTCTATCATTTTATACCCACCAAGAAAGGGAGAGCCGGTATCCCGAACGGGACGGCATGAGAGATAGAAGGCTAGAAGTGCGGGAGTCACGCGAGGTAAAGGTCCGGAGGGATATGCTTCTAGATAGCTAATAATAGTCGGATGAGTGTAGCCTATCGAGCCAGCGGTTCATCCCTGCGGGCAGACACAAGTAGAGAGGCAAAGGGGAAGACAGGTTATTCCGAGGATAGAGAAGAAGTAGGTTGCCGCGACTCGTGAGGGCCCCGCGAAGACATAAGCTCAGGTTGCCACTTGCCATCTGAAAGGAGAGCAGTTTAAGCCTTAGGACTCCTCGATGCTGAGGTGCTCTGGAAATTGGGCTGAGGTCCTCTCGCCCGTGCTAAGGTGCTGTAGCTGGGGTGTGCCGGGACGTTCGGGTTCAAGGAAGCCCATACACATGTTAGGGTTAGGGTTTCAATGATGAATGTCGTCAGCTGATGGCCAGTGCAATATCCGACGCAGGACGTTGTACGGGCATAGAGGACACCCAATCATCTGTCATTACTCAAAAAGACGATACCAAAAGGAAGAAATGGGAGAGCAAAGGTCCGCACCTAAACAGCCTTTACGACATCACCAAACCACATCCAATAGAATAAATAAGGTAGGCAATAAGAATAGCTGTATGCAAGCAGATCGTGAGGTCATGATGTTCGTTGCGAGTCGTTATCGGTAGAATGTATTGTTCGGGGGCGCGTGTGGCTTCGCTGGTACGCGAGTAGGTGAGTGATGAGCGCCAGAGTTCATGGAGACGGGGCTCGAGGTCAACCGTGTGGGGGACGAAGTGTCTGCAGAAGGATATCGGGACCAATCATCATGCCGACTCGAGTGCCGCGAACCTGCTGGGCGCGTGTAATTGGGATGCACTGTACCTCCGTGTTGATCAATCGGAGCTGACGGTGACAGTCGAGGAGCCGGTGATAAGTCATCGTTTCGATGTTCTCTGGAAAAAGCACGTTGAGCACGGCTCGGGCCCGCTCTATGATGAAGCATAGGCTCTTGCGGGATAGTAGGAAGGGCATTAGGTGGCGCTGAAGTCCGACGATTTCGATATCCGGGAGCTGCCCTTGAATGGTCGTCTCGAGACCACCTGCGCAGAGGTCGTGGGAGATTGATATCACCAGAGGGCGAATAAGAGCCTGAGGGTGCATTGCCTAAGTGATCCTGAGGAAGTACGCTATACGGCCTGGAGTAGTGTCGGCCCTCATCAGTAGGCACCGGTGCGCTGAAGCGGCGTCCAGCTGGATAGATTGGACGGGTGGCGGGACTGGAAGGCCCCTCCAAGCCCGGAGGAGGACCAGCATTCTGCGGAGACGGAGAAAGGGGTGTCGGAAGCACGATTTGGTCACGTCGAGGTCTGTGCGACGGCGGAGGCCTATACGGAAGGGGTGACTGGGTCCACGGGCCTTGTCCTACGCTGATAGGTGGTGGGCCCGCAGCTGGAGGGGACGGGTCGATTTGTGTTCGAGGCAGTGCTTGGGACGGCTCAATACTCTTTCGCGTTTGAACGTTAGCTTGGGTGGACCGGGGCTGTACGGGCAGCTCCAATTGGAAGCTTTCGCCTATCTTCCCTTCGGTAGAGCTCGCCAGAACAAAGTCTGTGACACCACCCCCATGCTGAACGAGTAGGGGGCCCTTGATAACGGGAGTACGTATCTCGAGCTGTCTATGTGACTCTGACGATGGCGTCGTAACCGCCGCAGTATTTATTGAAGACAAATCGGAATGCGAGCCTGTGGGAAACAGACGGCCAAGCACACTGTCAGATCTGTTGGCGGGACACGAAACGGCTAGATTAGTTGCGGAAGGACCTTTAGTTGGATCCGATAGTCCTTTGCCTTCCGGGACGGGAGGGAGCTCTCGCTGTGATGCAGCTCCGTCCGCTGGTACAACTTGTAATTCCGGAAGGGCAGCCTCCCAACCTGCACTGGCCCGCCGATGGTTCCTGCTGTTGCGATACGTGCGAATGGCAGAGGGAGGCGGCGAATCATCATACGTCATCAGAGGGCGCGCTTCAGAATTCTTCGAGCGGTGGCGAGAGCGTGACCCGCGTCTAGGTGGAGGCGAAAGTCTCCCCTCGTCATAATCAGGACCAGATTGGGACACGCGCTCGTAGATGCTACGCCACCACGAGCGTTTCCGACCCTCGTGTCCCGGTGTCGCCGCGGGGCTGGCGGCATGCTTTTCCCAGCGGCCCGCGGGAGGTTCTGTGGATTGTCCAGGTGAGCCATGTAACAGATATCCAAGTGGATCGCGACCTACCGTCCTTGATCGTATATCCTCTCTTTTGAAGCTCCTTCTCTATCTGGTCCTCAAGGGCTTCACTCTTCTCACGGCGAATGTACCCAAGTCCATACCCATAATCATCGCCAACGCCCAACCACTGCCTCTCCCCACCAACGTCGACAGTCTCCTCAACCTCCATGCGGACTCCCTTCTCCGGCGCAGGCCACACCACGCGAGAGCGACCGAACACGTCTTCCATGACCGCGGAACGCCGGGTGAGCACGTCCGTCTCCTTCCCGCGGAAGCGGTACCACATGTACACGCAGCCATCCCATAGCTCGCGCAAGGTCTCGCGGAAATCGAACGCGTGGCCTAGTGAGCGCAGACGCGGCGTACGTTCGGGGGGTGGAGCGGGGTATTCGGCCTCAGGCTTGTACGGCCTATAAGTAAAAGCTTTGAAGTGCAGGAATGCGAAGCACCTATCAATAATTATCAGTTTTGAGGTACGTAACAGTGGATAAGTATACTCACATCATCTCGAAGGTCTCCAATATTGCTGCTATCCCATTGTTGATGTCGTCGGCTGTCATATACTTCGTCTAGCAGGGATACAGTTCAGTCGGCAGGAATATATATCGATAGCATTGCAGAAGCATACGTCTTTAATCAAGCCTATCATGCTCAGCAACGACAAACCAGTCGCCTGCCAGAAAGTGAGGAAGACTATGTAGTTCAATCAGTACCGACGCGATACCCGACCGTGAACCACTCACCGACAGCCTTTACGGAGAATAGCTTCAGAAGTGGCTTATAAGGTGCCAGTTCCTGGGACACAGGTACGTAGAGCTGAATGAGGCAGTACATTGCGACCGACACCGATATGGACACAATTACAGTGATCTAGAAAGTGGATAAGCATTAGTTCCGTCGTAAATAAGGTCGAGTGCCCTCGTACGTAGATGTGACCCCATCCGGGCGAGTAAGAGTCCTCGCAATACAAGCCCATGTAGTTCAACGTTACGGCGATGAGTGTCGTACTGCACGCAGGAACGATCAGAGTTCCTCACACATTGCAGGTGCTGTCGTAACTTACACTGGTCTGATGACGCAATACTGCAGAACACCCCACTTCATGAGCTGCAAGAAATACATTCCATCCTACATGCAGGTTGTGGTCAATTTTGTGGATAAAGCAACGGAACGAAAGGGATTCACCGCTGGTTTGGTCTTAACACCTTGGAAAGGGAAGACCCACTTCCGCCCAGGTTCGCCTCTTTTCGCGGCTTCACGGTCATACTCGCGAGAAAGGCCCTGTTTCCTGAACGCTTCCTTCTGTTCGTCTGGGTTGGGTGATATGTACACCAGGAGCAGGTAAAAGAAGGAGGTCAAGACTGTCGATTCGTAACAGTCCCGGATGAGGAGTAAAGCTGTTGCGTGATTCTGGAACATAGACACAACCATCGTGAGATATACGACACGAGGGTAGATCACGACTTACCCAGAATAGATATGACGCGAAGCTGACCACAGCGTACAAGGGAACCATAAATAATATCCGGACAATATCTACGGGGACATCACGTCAAGATATAGCTCGGAAGGGATAGGTACGAAGTACTAACATCGCTGCTCCCGTTTCTATGTGAAAGCGTTCATGTGAGGACACCTAGCACAATTCGAAACAATACACGTACATTGGTGTACCACTGAAGGTGTTTGTTTATCAACCAGAATGAGGCGACCAGGGAAACAAGGGTGAAGAAGCCGCAGACGATCCATCCAACCTGCGCCGCCACTTCCGCCTAAGCAAGGGGTACCTATACAGTGCAAAACGAATACTTACGTGATGGGCTATACAGACAGAGATTTAGTGCTGTTACTATCCTCCAATCTGGAAGGACGTTCACCTTGGAATACGATATCACCATGCTGAAAGAGAGGGGGAGACGTATCAGGCGCCAGCTCCTTCCAGCATCTCCCATCTGTAATATTCGACATCTCTTGGGCTTCTCCCTGCGTAGTCACAAACTAGTACTGACTCCCTCCACGTAGGTCGGGGTAATCGAGCAGGAAGTTATCGTAAAACGTCGTAGTAAATTTCGTGCACAGTCATAAATTAGTGTGAGTCCCAATAGGTGCAGTCCAGTCGTCCAGTAGTCAGTGCCTCAGAAACGTCGATAAAGCTCTGGCTAGCCCGAGACGACCACCGCTGGGATTAACGATGAGAAGAGCGCGTAATAGGGGCACTGTAAGAAAGCCCAATATGGAAATCGTGACGGCGTGATCAAAGGTCACACATATTGTTGGGGGAGCTGTGCCGCTGTCGCCTTGTTTCTCTCCATCACCACGACCACCATCACCTGCCGCCACCACCGTCGACGTCTTCAACAGTCTCTTCCTTGTATTCTTCCGTCTCTGCTCTAACTACAGCCATGGATAAGTCCCTCGACGAGGTTGGCAAGCCTGAAATGTCGTCGCAGTCCACGCCACTCAACATGTTCGTTTGTCGCTTTGCTCTCTTCAGATGATCAAGACCCAGAAGAAGACGCGGTCGAAGGCGAAGCCCGCACGCCGACGGAGCAGCGGTGTTAAGCAGCAACTCATAGGCAAGGGCGCACCCGCGGCGGCAGCGAGCCCATCCACCAAAGCCGCGCGCAAGGCCGCAGCAGCGGTTGCACCTGCAGCTACTACACCCCAACCCGCCGACAAAATCATCGTCTCAAACCTCCCACTTGATGTGACCGAGGCTCAGATCAAGGTAAGCTTCGCGTGCTGCTGTGCTGCTACAGAGAAACTCATCAAAGTATCATTGTCTCAAAAAGGACTTATTCCAGACGACAGTTGGCCCCTTGCGTGCCGTCCAGCTGAACTACGACGCCTCCGGGAGATCAAAAGGTGTCGCCACTGTGCACTTCCAGCGCAAGGGTGATGGCACCAAGGCGTTCCAGCAGTACAACAACCGGCTTATCGATGGGAGTTAGTATCCGTCTCGACTACTTCTCTTCTCTTCCCCTTCTAGCTTGGCTTGCTTGTTCGCCGCCGTGCGTCGTTGAAGGGTCTCGGCTTCGGGTAGTCGAGCAAAAAGCCGATTGCGAGCGCCACCTGCACCGTTGAGACCTGACGAGGTTCGACGCGATAACGTTGTTATCGAGATGCAGCACTGGACCGTGCGGGGAGGTCTCTGACGTCAACGCATTATTGTCGGAGCCTCCTTCGCTGCCCCGACTATGGAAGTAAAGGCCTCTGACGTTGCTCACCTCGCGTCAGAGTGATCTGAACTACCCAGGCTGCGGATCGCGAAGGTCTCTGACATCGTCCACCCTGTGTCGGAGCCTTCTGCTGCCCAGTCTTGGTCTTACGGGTTAGGTTGTGGCTGCAAGTCAATACGGTGGGCGTAGAGGTGCTGCTGAGTGGTGCCAGCAGCTATCCGCCCCACAAAGTCGATGTCTACTTGTTCAATGTCCAAGATGGTCAAGGATGAGGGAGTGGTTCATTTGTGAAGACATTGTCAAGCATGCATACGACGGGGAGAACTACAACGACGACCACGCGCAGCAGGGCTTGCAGGTCCAGGCATCGTCTCGGATTTCCCTTCTTCTCCCTCTCCGTGTCCCTAAGGGTCCGATCGCTAACTGATCCTCTATCTCCCTGTACCTATTCCAACTCGCTCCCATCAACAGAACGCCCCATGAAGGTCGAAATCGTTATCTCGACGCCGGTCGCGCAGCCCTCGCTCGCCGCGCGCGTTGCGCCAGCCCCCGTGGCCGCTGCCGTCGCACCCAAGTTCGTGTCGTCCCTGGAGGTGCCGGGGGAGTAGTGTCTGACGGGTTTGCTATGTTTCATCTGACAGGACTGCGAAGAAGGTGAAGAAGCCCGCGAAGAAGGGCCGCAAGAAGGCTGAGCCCCGCCCGGCGAAGACCGCTGCTGACCTCGATGCGGAGATGGAGGTGGGTGTTAGGTGTGCACGTCCTCTCGCGGTTCCATTAATTCTTGGCCTTGCAGGATTACACGGCCTCCAATGCCCCGGCCGCTGCTTGATTCGTCCGTTATCTGTCCTAATTGATCTCTGCACTTTTCCTTGCTGTCTATCCTCTACTCGATTCTCTGATTTTGGGTGACTGTATGTTCCGTTGCGTCGTCTGGTGATTCATTTAGATACCGCAATTGTATGAATGGCGTGCTCTGCGCTGTAATCCTCCTCCCGAACTCGAATCCGTACATTCCATTCAAACAGTTATATGGCTGAAATCCAGAACCGTGGCGCTGCTCGTAAGCGGTTGCAACGGTTGTCGTAAGTTCGAGTCGGAGGGCTGGTCATTGATGGATCCTTTCGTAGTTCGCTAGACTGTCCTTCGGTTCTACGGCTCCATCGCGTAGCGACGATTGCGGAAGCAAACTGTGGCATACTGCGCAACTTCTTAAGTATTCTCTTCTTCTCCTTGAACCCATACCCGAACACTTGTGGCTAGCGCTTCAGGTTAATGGCATTCCTCTTGGCAGAGTGAAGGACTTATCAGTATGAGGTCTTTACGAACCTATATTGCGTGGGGATTTATCGGTTGCGATAAGGCTGTAAGGCTCGAGCATCCTTGAACAGCTTACTCCAGTATACTCCTCCCATGTTCGCTTGCGTCCCAGGCGGTGTGATAAGCTCGTCACTTCCACCGGGATCCACGATAATTGTACGGTAAATAAAACCAGTTCTTCTGGCCATGGGTAGGCTTCAGCGTATTGTGGCAAAAAAATGTGGCCACCCGGATGAAAGCGGGGATCTCGGGCAATCTGGAAGTTGAAGCTTCCTCCTCTACGCGAGTCAACCTGTACCCTGGATTCAGGTGTCGCTCCATTCCTTCTACCTCCCGCTGTACTCAGTTTGCCGCCTTGCAAATTCCCTTTTACACGGTCAAGGCCAAGAATCAGAAGATCGGCCAAGACTGGATTTGTGGAGCAATCGCATTGCTCGACTCACCCGCGCGGCCAAACACCCATTCCTCTGCAGGGACTTACAACTTGGAAGCACCCGCCGATTCAGTGTAGCTCTAAGTTCCATACATACCTGTGCGGCATTGTGCTTCAAAATAGCCGTGAAGCCACCGTCGATTTCTATGTTTTGGTTACTCCACCGAGTGTTCCGTCGACTAAGCGACTTCTCCGAGCTGCGTGTTGTGTACCGATAAGCTTCCTGCGGAGTGTAGTTATGATGCTGCCTCTTCTGTCGATCACTATGACATTCTCCAGAGCTCTGTGCCGGGTCGGGGGTCGTGAATATAAGCTGGTTGGACCTGAAGACTTAGTGCTCCACCTTCGTATCCCGGGGCGCGGGATATGTGTATCATGCAGTTCAAGTCCACGTTCTCCAGTCTTTTGCTCTCTTTCTTGATTTCTAGTCTTGCGACATTCGTTGTTGGTTCCCCGATAGAGTCTGATGCGTCACGCAACGCCACTATCACTTTCAGCAATCCTGAAGCGGAGAAATACTACGTAGATGGCTCTAAAATACCCGAAGGTGAGTGACTATGCTCTTATACTTACAGTCCAATGAATACTGACAGTTGGCTGGTGAAGTTGACTGGGATGCCGGGCCATCATGGTCCGGATTGATGCCTATATCTTCACATCCTAATGAAACGCGAAAGCTGTTCTTTTGGTACGCAGACGCATCCTTCGCTCAGGGTTTATGCTTACAAGGCGCCCGACAGGTTCTGGCCCACGAATAATGCATCGCATGCAAATGACGTTACATTCTGGACGAACGGTAGGCGAAACTTTGCTGTGTACTGCCTATATCTGCATCTCACGACTGATCATTCCATAGGCGGACCAGGGTGTTCCTCTCTACAGGGACTTTTGACTGAAAATGGCCCAATTTGTATGGGTTCTATTTCCGTCGCATTAGAACCTCTCTCCGACTGACAGCTTCAATAGCTTGGAACTGGGGTCAAGCAGCGCCTACTCCGTAGGACCTCGTCGTTACTTTAGTGTCGAAACGTACTAACACGGTGCATCAACAGTAACAAATGGTCTTGGACTAACCTCTCTCATATGCTCTGGGTTGAACAGCCAATCGGAGTATGTCCACATTCGACTCCCTGTCCAGTACCTGCTTAACTTGGAGGACAGACGGGGTTCACGGAAGGGGACCCGACTATCAACAACGACGCCGATCTCGCGGAGCAGTTCTACGGCTTCATGCAGCAATTTCTCGAGGTCTTCAGCGAGCTCAAGGGCAAGAACTTCTATGTATCGGGAGAAAGTGTACGTACGCCATTCGCCTCTCTCATTGAGCGGGACTAACGATAGAACAAAAACAGTTCGGCGGCTTCTGTATGTCGTTTGGCCCATTGTAGTAAGCGCTCCAGTTCTGATAATGATCTTACAGATGTGCCACACATCGCGCACTACATCTACGAACACCCGGGCCTCGACCTCCACCTCAAGGGCATGTGGCTCTCGGACCCATCCATCTCCTACACCGTCGTCCAATACGAGATCCCCACGCTCAAGTTCGTGAAAGTGCGTCGCCTCCTCGCGTGACCGACGCGGCCTGTCACTGACCGAAACCGAAGGACAACAAGAACGTGTTCCCGCTGAACAGCACCTTCATGGCCGACATCGAGAAACGGTCTGACGAGTGCGGGTACACGGACTACGTCGATACATACGTCACGTACCCGCCGAAAGGACCGCTGCCTATGCCAAAAGGCAACAATGGGAGCGTCGCGGCGCCTGGGCACTGCCAGATCCGCGATCGCGTGAGGAACGCTGCTCAGAAGTATGTCGATTTCTGTAGGAGAAGATGGCTGAGCTTGAGCTGACTACTGCTGTCCTCGAAGGCTGAATCCTGCGTTCAACAAGTTCAGGGTGACTGATCAGTGGCCAGCACCATGTGAGTGATAATGTTGCGCCCTCGAATACCGTTAATCGACCTCGGCAGGGAGTGTCTTGGGCTGGCCACACTCCTCCATCCAGAAATTCGTCTACTTCAATCGGTGCGCAGACCCCCAATGCCATTGCGTCCTCACATACTAAATTCTCGCTTAGAACCGATGTACGAAGCTCTCTCGGCCCTCTGCCTCCCTGTATATAACTTACGTCTAACTGCAATCACAGGTCCAAGACGCGATTCACGCCCCGCACGTCAAGTGGGAGGCCTGCACGGACGAGCATGTCTACGTGAGCGAGAAGTCGGGTAGGCCGCACGCTGACACGTCCACGCCGACCGCGTTCACGGTCCTCCCGGAGGTGATCGAGAAATCGGAGCGCGTCGTCATCGCGCATGGGATGGCGGTGCGTCGCTCTGACTTCTGCGTGCCTCTGTCGAGTCGTCCGTGCTGATTGTTCGGATAGGACTTTATGCTCGTCGCGGAGGGGACGAGGATAGCAATCCAGTGCGCCTATTCGCGCTCGTGATCTGGATTGCTGATCTGATATGTTTGGGACGTTGCAGGAACATGACGTGGAACGGTGCCCAAGGCTTCCAGAAACCCATCGAGCCGGAGAGCTTCACACTCAAACACCACGGCGTCTATGGGAACGCCCACACCGAACGCAACCTGACTTGTATGTTTCTTCCCTGTCCCTACTCGCCGTCACTCTGTCCCTGATGTTGATCCCGGCATAGACGTAGAGATATACTTCAGCGGACATTATGTGCCTCGTGCGTCTCGTCCATGTTGATAATACTCCTAACCTCACCTTCTTACGCTTCTCCGTTTTCTTACAGAGTTCACGCCCTGGGCGGCCTACTCCACCTTTGCCTACCTTCTCGGACGCCAAGACTCGCCATCCTCGTAAGGATTGTGACTAGACCATAGATTTCTTAGATGTATCATTTCCTGGCCAGCCGTCGCGCATTGGCGACGATCACGTTCTTTTAGACTATAAAACATTGAGTAGAGATTGTATCATAATTCACTTTAATACTAGATTTTGTTCCTCCTTCCATGTTCTCGGACTTGTAGCCACAAGTCGCAGCAGCGACGCCACACACGTGCGTATTTGACGCTATTTGTCCTTGTCCTGTGGCTCTGGTGAGAGGACCGCTTCCTACTTAGATTCTCATGATGTTACCCCTTGCCTCTCAAGGCTCGAAGGATATTTACTGCGCTCGTACCGCCCCTGGCTCCCGATAGGCTGCGATACCAGCCTGTCTTAATCCCATATTCTTCGGTCTGAAATCTGGGGGCAAGACAGGCCGGTATCACAGCGTAGGGGGTGTTGCGAGCGACTATTGTTTTCGACACACTTACGGGTCTGCCTCAGACGGCCTGGTAGGATTTGGACACTCCGATGGCCTGGCTGTGGCTAAAGTAGTGACGGAAGAAGCGTGTTCACCGACTGTCGCCATAGGCACGAGATCACTATCCCCACCGTGGAGCTTGCTTTCGGCCATCGAGGACAAGCACGGGTGAAAGTATCATTTTCAGCAAAACGCTGCCGTTTTCCCGAGGTTTACGAGCGTCCTGTGCCGAGAAATGAATACCACGACGTGCGTTCCCAGAGAATCCTGCTCAATCCAGCATCTCCTTCCAGTGGCAGCGCTATTAATGCAACACCTTACGTGAAGCTTAACGCCTTTTCTCGCATTCCCGCTCCTTCCTTGCGAGCTAAACCTGCCAAACGTTTTCTCTTCCCTTCTTTTCCTGCGTCGATGCCTGCTTGTGCTGTCGCGCCCGGCCTGAATATCGACTCTGCAGTCACACATCGGACTCGGTGAACAGCACCCACCTTATGAGTCCTCGGGCTGCGCCAGCTCCTGCCTGGGGTCAACTCCGTCGCAATGGCGTCGTCCAGCACGTCGCGCGAGTACGCACAGCTTATCGGCGTCATGTCCGGCTTCATGGCGTACGGTGCGTTAGTGACGCTCTGCTCACACCGAGAGGACATCCATTCATCCTCCCGCAGGCATCCACTTTACACTATTCGTGATTACCTGGGCGCTCCTATACAAGCGGCGCCGGTCAATGCGCCAGGCGCGCTTCTTCCTCGGCTACATCTCTCTGCAGTTCGCTCTGAGCTCCGTCGGGCTCTGGCGGGACATCGTCGCGGAGGCCGCGTCGTACGTCGAGCACGGGCAGGGACTTGACGACCCGATTCAGTATTACAACGAGGGGTACAGCGCCCCGCCCGAGTGGGTCAGCGTGTTCGTGTACGCGATCTGCACTTGGCTGCAGGACGGGCTGCTTGTAAGTTACCCTCCACGCATGCTGAATGGGCGAGGTCGCTGAAGGGAACGATAGCTGTATAGATGTTACTTTCTTTACGCTCGCAGTAAGAGCGTCATCGCAATCCCCGCCGCAGTCTTCTCCGCGTCCATCAGTACGTCTCCCCTTCCCCCCCTCTGCGCTGATCCTCAATGCCCGCCCGGCCCAGTCGCCTCCGTCCTCTTCGTCGCGCAAGTCTCCATGAGCTCCAACCTCTACGACCGCAAGTCCGTCGGGCTGGGCATCCTCTACTGGGGCCTCTCCGTTTCCTTCAACATCATTGTGACATGCTTCATCCTCCGGCGGCTGTTTACCCTCCGCAAGCGCAGCCGCGACCTCTCTCAGTCGTCTGGGAGGGTGTACACGGGCATCGCGGCAATGATCGTCGAGAGCGCGGCGCTCTACTCGGTGACAGGGCTCGTCTTCATCATCTGCTACTCGCAGAACAACCCCGCGCAGTACCCGTTCCTCACGTGGCTCGGGCAGACGGAGGTGCGCTGTTTGATTCGGAGTATCCTCTAGCTTCACCTTGATTCTCATTCCACACGTGTAAGTAGTCGATATCGCCGCTGCTGATCATCTTGCGCGTCGCGCAGGGCCGCGGATTTTCAGAGGACAGCCAGCTCACGGACACGCTCCCCACGATCCGGTTCAACCACAACAACGCCGTCGACCTGCCCGAGCTGCACTCCACCACGCAAAACGCGACGACTTCCTCCGGTGCTGACCCCGAGACAACTGCATTCCCACCTAGAGATGCGTACGCGCTGGACAGCCCCTCGTCATCCGCGCACATCTTCGAGTGGCACGGGCTGGCCTCGAAGACGCGAGACTCATACCCTTGAGGTAAGGCTATCTTCTCTTTCTTGACCCAGACTCGGGCTCATTGAGCTCAGAGGCTTCACAACGAAAGCATCACGTTCACTCCCTCTGCACGCCGTACAGCGTACACCTATACCCAAGCACGTTATGACATATCCCACTGTATTACTAGTATATGGGCGGCGTAATCAATCCTTGCTGTCCCTGAGTACGTTGTCTGAGTCTGACGTGCGCATTGACACTTAGGTCCGTCGACTGAACAAGCCGGTCCGAACTTGGCTGTTCCTCGAATGTTCGATCTTCTATGAAGCTGGTGAAGCCTGAATTTATCCGCCCGTTGTACCTCTTATCCCTGCAGCTGAGAAAGCAGCCAAGCTGCAGCACTTGATTCTGAAGCTCGGACCGAGGATACGTCGCCGTAAGGTACGCTACGTACACTTTGCTCTCGCTCATGGACCTTTCGAATTCGTAAGACAGTTGCAACGACGATACCAACGCGGCGAAATCGTCGTATCGCCCCGTCTCTTCTCTAATAAGTAACCTAATCATGTATCTTCCCGTTCTTGCATCGATTTCCCTCCGTTCCTCCCTATGTAATAGTAGTTGTAGACATTTTTGAAGTAATTGACGGGCCAACCGACAAACTCCCCGTTGTCCACGCCTGGCAGGAGTGCGGCGGATCAGTATGACCATGGGGTACATGCTTTCCCAACACCACAACGTCTGTACCCTCAATATTAAATATACACCTTCCTAGACGGCGCTCAGAGCACAACACAGCATTTCGAAAGGTCCAATAATCCGCTCATGGATCCAACCATTAACCTCCCATTCATAGTCCTCTATCTACACCTCGTACATACATATACATCTATACAAATCAAGTCTATCTATGATACCCATCTACAGCACAATGCACCAAAGTCCAGTCCTTACCATATTACTCAATGCTACCGATACCAAATGGAAGGAGAGGAAGGGAGAGCGGAAAACAAAAAGGCAATAAGTTAGTCTAAAGGTCCTATCCAGCGCCGGCGCTTATACCGGCGCCGATAGTGGGCGAAGGCGTGTGGGCGGGAGAAGGAGGCGGGTAATGGGAGCGTACGGGACGTGAAAAGGCGGGAACAAATCTACTTGGGCGGCGTGCTCGGGGACGACAGCCACGGGTGCTCGAGGAGCTCGCCCGCAGTAGCGCGCTCCTCGGGGAGCCAGCGCAGCATGCGCCCCGCAAAGTCGAGAAACAGCGCCTTGTCCTCACCCTCGAGGGCATGCACGGTGTCTTCGAGCGCGCGGGGCTCCGCTTGCGTGCCTTTGAGGTCACCTGTACAAAGCGCAATCAGCCGCGCGAACTCAGCAAGGGAGGGAGAAGGAACATACCGTCAGAGTCGTAAAACAGCTCGGTATCACTCCCGCGCTGCAGGAGGGCTTTAGGAGCAGGCCCGAGTAAACTAGTGATCTGCGCAAGCTGCCGGCCCGCGTCGTACTCCCCGCGCGCGTCCCGGCCGGCGCACAACGTCTCGCCCTCGAGGAGGTTCCAGAGCATCGCGCCGACGTTCCACATATCCGCGCTGTAGCTCCACGGCGCGCCGAGCGTGACCTCTGGCGCGCGGAAATCGTCCGGCTGGATCCAGTGCGTGAGAGGCTGTTTGGAGTCCCCGCGGACGGCGACGTCAAAGTCACTGATGCGGATGAACTTGGGGAGCGTGCGGAGGGGCCCAAAGTCGTTCCGCGAGAGGTAGACGGAGCGGTCGGCGAGGATCTTGCGAGGGGAGGGGTCGTGCTGCTCGTCGGCGGCGAGGTCGTCGAGCACGGAGGTGCACTCGAGCGCGAGGAGGATGTTTTCGGCTTTGATGTCTGGGCAGATACGGTCAGTGATGATCTTCAGACTGGGACGAGGCACTCACCGGTGTGTATGACGTGCGCCTGCGTATGCAGATAATCCAGCGCGTACAGCAATATTCTCACCGTCGGCTTCAACAGATGCGCAGGGTACACGCCCCCGAGGCGGCGGTACTGGAAGAGCCAGAGCGGCTCGCGCATCGGCTCGTACACCATGGTGAGGTGCCTGCCGTGCGGGCCGTCGAGCTCGAACGAATCCTTGACGGTGCGCACGTAGCGCAGCGCGGGGTGCCACGGGTTCGCGGCGGCAATGTGCTGCGAGATGCTGAGCTCCTTGGACGCGCAGGCGGCGTGCGCGGTGTCGTTGCGGCAGATCTTGAGCGCGACGTAGCGGTCTTGCGGGAAGCGGTATCTGATCCGAGTTCAGCAATTAATAACCTAAGAAATAACGCTAGCCACACACACCTCAGCAAATCCCTCGCCAGCCACACTGTCGAGTTGCCGCCGAAGCCGAGCTTCGCGACGACCTCGTACGAGTCCTGGAGGACCTCACCGAGGCGCGTCGGGTAGAAATGTCGCGGGTTGTAGTTCGGCGAACCTTCCTCCTCGACGGGCACGTCCGAGCCCAACAACGGGAGCGACCTGTATATGTGGGCCGAGTGAGGTTGGTGCGTCAGCCCAGGCGTCGTCAACAACGGCTTCATCAGCCGCACTGTCGCCCGCATGGTGAACGACGCAGGCGTTGATTAAGAAAGCGTATAAGTATTTGTTTCTAGTGGCAAACCCTGCAGGCGCAGGGCGGGGGAGGGAGGAAGCAGGGCAGCTGGGAGGCGTAAATAAGCAGGAACGGTATACAAATAGACGGGCATTTTACGAATCGAAGATGATGGAAAGGAGCAGGCAAGATGCGCGGGCCTCGGCCGCGACGCGGCCTGGCCCCGCATGCGTATCCGGGGAACCGTGCGAAACGCGGGGTACTCCGCAATTGGGAATGAGACCGGCAGAATTCTCTCCACAGGATGACGACAAATCTGATTCATGCCAGATTGCTGAGAGTATGGCTTGCCTCGAGTAGCTAGGATCAACTCTTTTTCTTTTGCGCATAGAACTCGGGGCACTTTTATCAACTGCGCGAGGATATTCCAATGGTGCGAGCGCCCAGCTAATCGTGGGTGCTGAAATATTACCGTTTCAGGAAGCGTAACTTCCAAAATAGGAAATAATAGCTTCAGGGCTCTTGGAGATTGTTGTCAAAGTATGTCTGCACCAAGGGGAGGCGAGGATAATATCTTCGGATACAGACCTACTTTTATTTAGGTGAGGCAACAGTGTGACCTGACCTTCCCCTCCCCCTTGTATATTTATTTTTGCCCTCAAAAAATTCACCACACTTACAAAATAAAATCCTCACTATGAGTTTCTGATTATGATTATGATATACATGCCACATCTGGGGCAGCTGGGTGAAATCCCAGCTCTCCTCAGGTGATCTAACATGAACTCACATCAAAGAATGAGAAATGCCCCACTATGGGGGCAGGAGCTAACATAGGGCCAGAATAGGGTCCTGCACATTTTGTTCATTTTTTTCTGAAGGGCAGGATTGAGGCCTTCCCTCCCCGGAGGGCTTAGTGTTCTGGGTTGCTCCATCTGCCACCCCTTGGTCCGCACAATCATATTCCCTTCGCCTTTGCAGGAAGCTGCAGGGTATCATATGTGAACAGAAAGCCGCACCAAACGAATGTTCATTTCACTACATGCTGAGCCTGAAGTACACCTCAACACGAGCCAATCCACATCGCTTTCCTAAACAACTCTGCAACCCAAACCCGGTGCCCGGGGTCCCCGTACATTGACAGGCCTGGAGTAGGGAGGCGCGCCCCTCTCGTCCCCTGACCTCCTGGCTCCTGCCTAGCCAAACTAAAAGCTCTAGCTAGTCTGAGCGGCGATCGAAGCTCCAGGCTTTTGACTTCCTCAACGAAGAGCCTGAGGTACCTAACCCAATCGCTCTGGATCAGGGAAATTTCCAGAGCGCACACTACTACGTACGAGCTGCGTGTCATACTTGATACATTCCTGTCAGAGCTTACTCGCCAGAACGCAGATACACTACTAATAGCCTACATAGCGTATACCGTATGACGAAGACAAAACAGATCCCGCTGTTCTCATACGTCCCTCCCTCTGCGTTGTAATCATGTAATGGGTTTCAGGACAGGCAGGCACTCCGGGTGCCCGGGACGAGTGCGTCCGGGGAGTTGCGAATTCGAATTCTAAAGCGCAGCGAGAGCGTACACGGAGAAGATTCCAGAGGTACGAGGCTGGCACGGGACGCCGGTGATCATTCGGACTAAGTAAAGTTCCCCCTCGCACCGCGTTCCGGAACGCTGTACCGTCTGCTTTCTCCCGGACAACACTCACTCTCACCTAGGCCTGGAGCCTCCCCTCGCCGACGCTCAGCGCACTGTCCAGGAGGTTTCCACACGCTCGTGGCAGATCTACTGGACACTGCGCTGAGCAGCCATGAACAACCTCATCCCACCGCCGGCTGCTGTCAGGCCTTCTTATCAGGCCCGACCGACGATCTCGCCGTACCCGTCCATGTCGTCCCCCGAGGCTCTCCCTCGCGCGGGGTTCCGGAAGCTCATGCCTACTATTTAGGTCGTTCCCTTTTTCCCCGCACTTCGCAGCGTCACTCTCACCCGGAGCCCGCGCCGGACAAGTCACCCGACACTCGGCGCAGTATCCAGGAGATGACCACACATTCGTGGAGATCTACTGGATACTGACTGATCGTCCAGGAACCTTTATCCCTCACTGCTTTCGCCTCCCCCCCCCCGGTGATCAGGCCCAACCGACGATCCTCGCCATACCCGTCCAACCGCCTCTACCCCGCACTTCGAGAACACCAGGGACGATCCCGCCAGAATAAGCACTACCCAAGAGCGGGTCAAGAAGGGAAGAGTGTTCCGTGGGCGTGGAAATAGTTCCAGTTCTACGCAGAAATAGCGGGATCGCAGGCCGAGAGGTGAGCTCAGGTTGGCATGGCCCCCGAGGCGCGAGAGAATACCATGCTTGATCACATCTGCCCGTGAGCGCGGAGACGGGCTGGCATCTACGCGAGAACCCCCAGTGCTGGAACGAGCTTGCGCGAGGTCAGATTACATTTCCATGCATTTTATACCTAATCAGACAGCGCGAAACGCATCCTCGGATGCAGTGCTGCTCTTGAAGACACCCGCCCGGCACGAGTCGCGCTACCACGCAGCGGGGTGGCGTTGGCGTACTCTGGTCTGGGGTCAACCCGTCACAGACAGCGGTTGGTCTTATAACACATTGTCACTGTTCGCATTGACAGGCACTGCCGGTGTATTCCCGGGGAGGGACGGAATGCATAACTGTTTCTGGTAAGGTGGGAACCTAATATGGCAATGCAACCGGCCGCTGCTCCGCATAATCTATAGCCGTTGCAGTATACACGTTCGACGCCACACTCAAAAAGGTTCACTACACACACCAACAGCCCGAAAAACTAACAGACTAACTCCTCAGCTCCCCATACCCCGGCGAGGCCACAACCCCGCCCGGGACCACCTCCTTGCTCGACTGCAGCAGCGCGGTGTTGTTCAGCTGCAGGTCGGCGATCTTCGCGCCCTCCCCGTCTACGAGCCCCTCAGTCAGCAACGGAAACCAGACAAAGGGGAAGTCACTCACCCAGAGACCACAGCGTGACCAGCAACTCATTCGATCCTCTCGGGTTGAGTATACCCTCGGGCAGCTAGAGCATCTCATAAGCATATATGCAAGGTCACCGAATGCCACGTCACTCACCGGGAATGACGTCTGCGGCCCATCCCTAGAATTGAATCTACCGAACTGCCACCCATTGATATACACCACGCTGCGATAGCTACTACTCGGCGTGCGTTCAAATTGCAATGCCACGGGTACGTCGCTGCCCTCGGGCAGGTTGAGGTTGAAGGACGTGCGATAGGCCCGAATGCCCGCGGAGGTCATGCCATCGTACGGAGTACATGATGCGTCCGACGTAGACTTGTTCCAACCCGTTGTGGAATCGACAGGGAAACCCGGTAACTGAGCGCCTATGAAATCATCGTCAGAAGTCTGATACACACTCCGCATCAACGAAACTCGCCTTGCCGTTCCACGAATAATCCTCCCTCGTTGAGCGGCCCGCGCACTTTGTCCGCGAAGTCCTCGCCACCGAGGTTGCCCTGCACCTTCCAGTAGGCGAAGTCGGTCCCGCCGAGGAGGGTGTAGCCTCTCACTCCCCTAGGGGTCTGCGCGAAAGTGAGTGGGATGAGACGCATCTAACATAACGTATTATAATTATGCGCGTACCTTGAAGGTATCATCACCGTCATAATCTTCTTCCAGACCTGCATAATACACCCACTCAGCATAACTGTACTCCCCGCACGGTGTCTCGCATCGAACACATACCAGTTTGGTCGACCACGACGGTGAGCACGTTATCCCCCTCCGTGAGATCGGCGGGGTCGAACGTCCACGTGTCGTTCGTCATGTCAACGCCTCCGCCCGCGGAGTACTGGTTCGTCCCCTGGCTAGATCCTAGGAACTTGGAGTTGATCCAGACGCTGTATCCGAAATTGTAGCCTCTGAGAGTCTGGTGATCAGAAGACATGTCTCGGCAGCCTGAGGGTGGGTCGATACTAACCCTTGGACTGAAAGCTGGACGCCAGTCGCGTTGGTACCTGTGAAATGCCCGCGGGCGATGGTGTTCCCTAAGATCCCGTCAGACCCGGAGCATACCCCCGAAATGAGCTTCTTACCCTGATGGAACCCATACTCATCCGCATACACGACATACTAATCCAACCTCAGTGCCCGCCAGGTAATAAATGAGCCAGAACTAACCTGTCCGCCAAGCGGCTGGTACGGCCTCTGCGTGCTCGTCTTGTTCGCCGTCACCCAGGCACTATCGTCGAACCCAGCCTGCACCTCCGGCAACGAGTCCGCGCAGTACCACTCCGCATCCCTCAAACTTGGCAGCGTTACCTCTTCCGCGAACTCCAACGTCGCCTCGAAGACGCCTGGCACAGAAGCGCCCTTCACCTCGACCTGTTTCCCGTTCCATGAGACGCTCTTCACGCTGCTGGGCGCGATGACGCCCAGCGTGATGGTCGCGTTGATGTCGCCGAACAGCTCGAGCGTGTTCCCCGTGATCGACGCGTTGCGCACGAGGTACGGGCCGTACAGGAGCACAGAAGGGGCATCGGGCGCCGCGTCGTACGGCGTGTTGTTTGCACTCGGAAGTCGGATGTTCCAGAACGACAACGCGGCGTGCTTGTCCGCGATGATGACTATGGCGCCGTCGAGTATGACGCCGGATAGACCGGAGGGCGTTCCGGTGATTATGACTGAGCCGTTGGATGACTCTGCTTTGATGGTGTCCGACCCAACGACCTGTGGAGAGCCAGAGCCAGACATGACGGCTTCGATGGAGTGCCCCGCCTGAGCATAGAGGACCAGGTAGTCCACGCCGTCGATTGTTGTGTGCGTGAATATCTAAGGCAGCCGGCATCGAATCAGCCAAGGGAGGTGTCATGAGGGCGGTATGGTCTCACCTCAGCAGTAGAGTATTTGAGAGTATGCGAGCCGAAGGGGTATTCCGAGACGAGGATCTGACTCTCTCTTCCATCAAGTGTGATGTTTCCTCCGTGCTGGGGTACTGTGATTTCGCCTTCCGTAGTATTGACGCGCAAGGAGAAGCTGACGGGAGCAAGATAACTACAGAACGATGCAGCAGATCAGTACCGTCCCATCGCTGGATGATAGCACCCGTTCTCACCTGTTGCTCGTATGCCTGACAACGTAGAAGTGCACGCCCGTGCTGGAGCTCAGCGCGGTCGTGTACACCCTGGGGTTATCGGAGTAAGCTGTGCCACTGCCCACCGTGCCGTTGCCCACGCGCGTCGCGAGCAAGTAGTCCGGCGACGCGTGCAGGAAGCCCGCTTGCAGTTTCAGCTCGTAGTACTTCGGCGAGAGCGTACGGTCCTCTCGTATGGGCGCTCCGTAGTCGTACCTATGAAGTGTTGGTCGAAGTCTCGGTACTCAAAACTCGGGACCCACGATGTATAGACGGTAGGCTCTGCTAGGTTACCCCAATTTGTCCCGCCAAATGTCATGTAGAGATTCTGATAATGCGTCTCTGCGGCATAATTGTTCTGCATCGCCGTCAATGCTTAGAACACAGTTGCATACTTTGGTCATTGTGTTCGTACCTTGTAGAAGACCTATGATGCCAATCAGTCAGCTGTTGAACGTTCTCGCTGCTCAATACTCACGTTGGCGTATTGTTCGTTAGTTAGTTGGTAGCATGCGTCGTAACTTGACTATCCACATGTAGTCGAAGCGATGAGCAATGTCGGCATCGGTGAAATTCAGCTACTCACCCCTCCCCATGGGTCGAACGCGCCGCCGCCAAACTCTCCAGAGGCCCAGAGCAAGTCCGGATCGATATTCTATGACCGCAATCCTCAAAGCAGCTGGGGAATGCAGTTTCTGCGAACCTCGTACCTGATGATCACTATCCAATTGAGTATACAGCTCGGTCCATTTGTTCGGATTGCTGCAATCAAAGCCGTTGGGGTAGTTATCCCACGTGTACAGGTCCACCTCGCCTAGGCCATGGCCGGGAGCGTACACCCCGCGTGTGTGGCCGCCATCATTATGGGTGCTGTAGCATCGCAAAGGCTGGGATTAGGTGTTAGTCGCAAGACAGGGAGACGCAAACCCATACATGGGGATCTTGGTGAGCCCGTTGGCGCGGTAGGTATCCTCGATGAGCTGCATGTACTCTGACCGTCCCGGGTCGGAGGGCGTCGACTCGAAGAATTCGTTCTCGGATTGGATGGCAATGACGGAGCCGTCCGGATACTTACAGCATGATCAGACATGAGCGTGGAAGACGAGATGGTCACCGACCTGATAAGGCTCCACGAACTTGGACACGGCTGTCATGAAAGGCATCCATGCGTCCGTGAACCCAGTCTCGTTTGTACGCGCCTTGGCAGGATTGTTCGTCAGCCATCCGGGGAAACCGCCGCCAACTGGAAGAGTATGGTATTAGCCCGGTGCAGCTTGAACAGTCCGGGCACCTCACTTGTCTCAGCCTAGGGCAAAAAAACCCGCATAGGCAATTATGAGTTCGTCCCATCGGGCTTACCGTCAGGGAGACTCACATTGATGTACGGCTATGGGCGTGGACGGATCAATCTCGGCGTAACACTGCATGACCACATCTCACATACCCCGGGTCTTACGATCACCAGAAGGCCAACTTCTTTGGCGACCTCGTAAACGTCGGTGTGCGAGCGGTAATATTCAAAATCCAGCTCTCCCTGCTTTCCTTCACTGAGGCCCCAGTGGAGATATACGGAGACGGCGTTCCATCCAGCGGCCTGGGGGGGTGGGGGTCAGCGTATCGATACCCGACGCTAGCACAGAGTAATACCTTCATCTTCTGAAAGATGTCCCTCCATCCAGCCTTCCCTGTGGGCAATCGCCACGGGTGCACTTCGCCACTGAAGACGAAGAGCCTTTTGTTGTCGAGAAATAGAGAGTACTCGTCAAACGTGACTGCCGCAGACGAGTTCCCATGGTAAAATCCAGGAGAACCGGGTGGGACGGTATAGGACAAGACACTCGCGAGTTGGCTTGCTAGCACGAGCGCAAGCGCGGACCAAGACGTCAGCCAACGCATCGCCTGTATACTTGTGCGCGTGCAGGGAGTCCGCGACGCGTCGTATGTCCCTTTAAGTACCGCAGCCTGCGACTGTCGGTACTTCCATGCGTGCCTGAGAATGTGTTCAAGGCATCACAAGGCCAGTGGATGTGCTCATCCAAATGATGGAAATAACGGGAATATATTCACCGGCGGACCCGCCGTACTTGAGAAGCAGGAAGAAGCAGCAGACACGGGCCGTCCGTCTATCATGAGAGGGGAGCGCGACGCGTGACGTCAGAGTATAGGGCCCGCGTAGGCCCGCGTCCGTTACTGTGGCCTCAGCTCTCAGGCTCGCGATCAGAACTTCGGTGGCGGCCAGCCTATCGGGCGCTTCAGCGCTAGAGTCAGCGACTGGTAGCCAAGATATCGAGAATGTACCTAGTGGTCCTTTGGTTGTGTTCACAACTGTGCAAGACTAGGATCTCATGGGGCGGCGAATATCTCTAACGGGAAACTTCAGGCTTGTCGAGGATTGAGCACGAAGGACCTTGTGCTGGGCGGGAAGCAACACGAGTCACTGGCAGTGGCTCAGAGAACTCAGGCTATGGATATCGGATGGTCGGCCCGTCGATCCGGGCCTCTCACAAAGCAGCACTTGTCGCGCGAGCGATGAGGAAAAGCAGTCTAACAAAACCGATGCATTCGTATGCATCCAGACATATCCCTTAGAGCGACGAAAGTCGGCTGGAGAAGAGAGTGCTACATCTGACGGACCTCGGTAACCCATGAGTGCTTCAGTACAGGTATCTGAAACCTTTTCTCCTTTCCAACGCTTCCTCAAAGGTTATTCCCTCCAATTTAGCAGCATCCTCAATCCGCTCGCGTTCCGCATCCGTAATTTCCCGCAGTTCCTGGGCCGCCATGCGCGCGTTTTCGCGCTTCAGCATGGTCCTCATGACTACAAGTAAAAGGTAAACAGTAGTCCTTATCCAAGAGATTTCGGCGACTTACGGATACCCAGAGAGATGGCGAGTGCCATGCTTGCTATTCCAATGATCATAGACTGATGATACTCGGGTCCCCATTCAGCCTTCCAGACGAAAGACCCAATCCTGTCACCGCATAAAGGATGAAGTATGTCGCAGGACTGAACATGTAAGACCTACAAATTCCCCAGATTCCCGAATCCATTGACGATCCCGATCGCCACTGACCGTTTTGCCGGAGGTCGAGGGATCGTGTTCGACACCCACACAACCGTCAGCGCGAACCCTAGCATGTCCCATCAGTAAATTAGCACGGAGAGCGGAGGGAGGCCTCAAACGCACCGGCATATCCACTCGCCATCAAGAAAAGGCTGAAGTAGCGAGCCCCAGTGGCCATAGTGCTCAGCCCGATGATGTACCCAATTATAACGCCCCACCACCATATCGACAGATGCCAGAACCTCTCGCCGGTACGATCTATGGGGGACAATCATGATCGGAACATGATGAGGCCGCAAAGTACAGATATTCATACATACCGCAATGCCATGCATTCACGACACACGCGATCGCCGCCCATATCCATGGAGGCCTGTATGTAAGGCAGGTCAATCGACTAACCGGAAGAGACAACAGGGTACGACACTCACGCGCAAAGCAGAAGACTTACGGTCGTACCGTACCCAAGCGTCTCCGCCAGCCTTACCCGCACATTCAGTCGCTCTGCGCACAAAAACACAGACGGCACACGTACGTGGGGAAGAAGTTCACGAAACTCAAAGCGAGAAGCTGCGAGCAAGACATGAGGGCAAATATGTACACCTTTACGTCTGTCAGCGCCAGCCTGATCCCATCCCAGATCCTTGGAGCGCAAGTGTTAGCATGAGGATCGAGCATTCAAGAGATGGGACAACGCACGACTCCCCAGCAGTGTCTTCGTCCGCTTCACCGGCGTCCTCTGCGAGGCGAACCTGGGCTAGACGACGCTGAGCCTTGCTCATCCATCGGGTGTTGCGCGGCTATAGCAAGAAGAGGACCTGAGCGACCCTGTTCTATCATAGTGGACAAAGTTACAAACGTAATCGGGAAGAGACCACCTGCGGAGGGAGAGAAGCGGAAGCATCAGAACAAAAGTTGGCAATAGTGAAACACCATACATCGCAAGGAATCCTATGACCATCGTAATCGCACCCTGATCATTGCATTAGGGTATGTACAATCCCTGCACTGAGGATACGCACTTCGATGTAGAATAACCTACGCCCAAGTCGAGTCAATCGGCAATAATAGCAGAGTGCATGGTAACGTACCACCGCCATGCCCGGATGTGTCTGACACCCTCCATATTTGCTAGGATACCCGCAGCTATCAACTTAGCCTGTCGTCAGCATTTTGGAATATAAACACAGGAATGGGTGCCGTACACTACCGAAGGCGTTGGATATGAGCAACCCCGCATACAGTATAGCACCGCGGAATGACAGTTCCTGCAAGAGGTCAGAAGATCGTGACGAGACGCGCAATAGATCATACCTTCTTAGTGTACCAGCATGATAACAGGTACACCGCTCCCGGATAGAATGCGGCTTCTGGCAGGCCGATGAATACACGACACAGTAGTATACCAGCAAAATTGCGGGTGACCTGCTCTCCGAATCAGCGCAGCTGGCAGAACCAACAGATGATTATGCATACACCGGTCATGGCACTCGTTAAGCCCCATAATACCACGCAAGTTCCTATGAATAACGATGGCCTGACGAACAGATCAGATACAGATCATGGACAGGTTTTTCTGGCAAGTCATAGTACCTTGACACTATATTCAGAATCTGGACGGAGAATTGCTCAGAATAAGTAACTGGACTGAATGAAACAAACTGACCATATTGCCCGGTATTTGTGCTGGGCAGTATGACGCGTAGAGAATGGCGAGGATCGTCTCATAGTCAATATCTAGAGTTCATGTTTCATATCTAGGGCAATCACGGACTTAGCAGGGCATCATACCGTTCAGATGCAGATCCTGTTCTAGACCTTTCAATCTCGCGGACGTTACTGCAGTACGCTAACACCGAAGGATGATTGAGCAGGGAAAAACGAAATATCGAGTCGACTCACATCAATATAATTGAGGAGATAGATCAAGATCATCGTAGGCATAAGTCGCCAGTCGAGCATCCGCTTAATCTTCCTTTCGGCGGCTGCCCGTTCTTCGGTCGCCAACAACCGTGCGTCCTCGTCTGCCTTGAACGACGTATTGGAATCCTTCTCCTCCACAGTGGCAACTGCATTGTCTTTGTTCTTCGACACGCTGTCGGTAACAGAATCCCCGGTGGAGGAAGTCATGGTCTCCGGCTGAGATATGTTAGACTAAGCGGTTTCCAGTCATAAGCATAAATACCAGGATGAAGATGCCGAATTGCTATACATAACTGACCAGGTGGTCCGTACTTAGGCTTTCTAATCGACGGATCGGGTCTTGTGATCAAGTACGTCTGGCCAAGCATAGCAATCCGCAAGGTTGCCACCCCACGGGCTGAAGAGGGAACGAAGGAGCCTTCTTAGGTTCGGAGTGCCGTTCCATCGTGCTTCTCCTCGTCCATCTGAGCCGCACCTGACGGCAGGCACGTTCCATGTTACTCTGCACCTTTATAGGCAAAGAGAAGCTCTTCCTCCCTCTTTGTTATAGAGGATACCGTCTGCGGCTGAGGGTCAGACCCGGCATCGTCCGTATCCAAGAGACTTACCTGACCGAAATTTTGTGGAACAGTCCGGGTTCCGCAGAGCAGAAATAACCCCCTATGCGCGCACGATAAACCGGGAGCCGCTGCACGAGCTCTCCTCTCACACAAAGTTAACATGAACCACATTAGCGTTACGCAGGCTTACAAGGCTGTGTCGAGTAAACTTCGGATGTATCGAACCACGTTGTGACAAATGGGCATTTATTCCGTTCGACGTCGAAAGGTCAGGCTGAATCTGGTCGCATTGCACCAAGCCTCGGAAGGACTGCCTATTGCGAAGAGAGCTCAGTTAACGCAGCATACCTCAACGGACGGAAGGACCTTTGGTGGACTTGACAATCTGCTGATTGGTCGACCATTTTCCTAGGTGCATCGCGGGGCAGATGCCGCTTGACTGGTGTATACGCCCTTGATGGTGCGGGAACGAAGAACAGGCGGCCAAAGTATGCCATTGGTCCAATAGGATGACTCCGCCGGCATGGGTAGTTCCGTCCATCACCCACGCCCCAGGACTAATTAACGCACGGATTGGATTACAGCCGTTTGCAGATCGATAGGCCATCATTTTAGAAAGTAGCGTACAGTCGGAGTGCGTCGGAGACGGTGCTGGGGACGTCGGACGAAGGCGCAGGCGTCCAGATGGTCTGATTTTGGTACCTCGGGGACCTGAACTTACCTCTCCGACATGGTCCGACTGTAAATGATTTTCTGAAAAGGTGGCCCATCGATCTGCAAATGGCTGTATGAGTGGTCGAGGTAGCCTCGGATCAGGGCCTATTCATCATACTAGCGGCAAGTCGAGTCTATCTGAAGATGCGAACATATCCAGATCCAGTCAAATCCTCGCCGGACTTCCATCAAATTTTTCTGAGGAAGCGCAGGCAGACATAACTTAGCTTAAAACACGGTTACCGGAGGCTAACTGTGAGATCGACGTAATCTGTTGATGGTGACCACTTGCCAGCTTCATTTCCTACGGATCCCCGTCAGCAACCCAATGAGTCGCTGTGCAGCGAGACAAGAGCTAGAGTTTCAGTGGGAAGAGAAGCAGGAAAATCAGTGTGAGAGCAAATCGTTCGGCCCGTTTGCTGAGACATTGTCCTCAAAATATCGAGGGAACGGCCAAGGATAGGCCGTAAATGTTAGATCGTGATAGCCTGTTACTTCCATTCAGCCATTTGCGGAACGTATGCAGGAAAGCATCCTGCAGAGATGCCGTCCATGGCCAGGGACGACTCGCAGAATTCCCTCGCCACGCTGGATATAGCCATCACTCGTGGTCACTGGTCGTAGAGTTCCACTTCTACCAGTGTAATAATGCTGGCGACGACGTATTCAGCTGGTGCGAACTTCGGCGAAGCTCCTAGACCTCTAGATATAAACGTGACTGACGCATGTCATAAATACCTACAAGATTCGATGGAGGGACGTTAGCAGTGAGCCGTCTACAGCCTGCGCCTACGCATTAATCTTCATAGAGGCGATGGAGAGTTTCCTGGGAGTTTTCGTCGCAAGGAATCGCAAGTTCGCAACCCAATGTACTTGTCAGGCCAGAGAGGCTGGATGGCCAAGACACGAAGCACCCTACGTGTCGACCGCCCAGGAATTGTGTAAAAGCTCTATCGATAGTGCGGAGGGTTCCAGCTACCCATGTCGAGCAGGAAGTCGCTGAGAGGGGTACAGGAGGGAGAGTTTCCAGCACAACAACCAGGACAAAATCCATCCTGCGAGAATGGCAGCAGACAAGACGAGAATTGTTCGTGGATAATAAACTAGACCCAGTCACACCTACATAGCCAGAACTTGTGGAGTCCGAACAATGAACATAAGGCAGCGGTTCGAGCGTACGCTGCAAACACCACCATCGTTATTCAAGCCAAAAGAATATCGCCCAGTGAAACGCGTAGCATGCCGCGCAGCGGCCCGCGCTAAGTGTCCAGCAAGGCAAGGAGGAGGCCAACGACGATCTTAAGACGCAGAGTCCGGTTCTTGACAAGCGACCTGCATACAGAGCGTTGGTGGACTTCAGCCATCAAACACCATGCGGGCTGTTACTTATACGTGCAAGATCAACGTATGTAGTCCATACTCCCCGCCCGCGATGGTAAGCTGAGCATCTTCATAGGGCCGTACCGATTGCGCGTCGTCCATTAGAGACAATTGCTCGTCTACTGTCTTTTTAGGAGGCGCAGCCACACCGTCGTTGGGAATTCAGCCATCAAAATTGTATTTGTGTATGCTTGTTTGTGGCGGGTCGCAAGGTGCACTCGCAGGACAAGGCGAAAGATATATATTACTATGTCGTACCCTGCGCTTCATTCAATTTATTACGATTCCGTGGCAGTGGAGTTACGGATTAATTTCGGTGTTGGGAGACGTTGGCGTACGTCCCAGCACTTATGCTTGTCGGTGCTGCTTCCAATTGGGCATTTCTCGTCGTGTTTCTGATGTAGCTCTATTACCAGTGAAGGAGTCTCTGCCGTACCTGAGGCAAGGGGTGGTTCAGCTCATTGTCTGGTGATACTGGTATAACAGCGATATAGGCGCAGTCCCCGGATCGATGTAGTGATGATCTCCATCAATCACTTGCACCTCCTCAAGCATGAACATTAATACTGGCAGAGGCTCCGCGATCGTTGCTAGTAATACGTCCTCATCTCTTCCGACGCCAGCTAACCCCTGCTTCAGGACCGTAAATTCCACGCGGACTCACGAACGCACGCTATGGACCAAATCACGCTTGACGACAGAGATCCGCATATCACGTATTTCGGTAATTGGACATATGGGGGTACCGGGCAAGAATACTGGGGCACTACATCGGGTGCGAATGCAACGAATATGAGTATGATGTTCACCTTTAATGGTGCGTTTCGTCGAAAATCCAACGAGTTCCCATGATTAATGAGCCCGGGGTGCAGGGACTTGGATCGGTGTTTATGGAAGCATTGGATTTATGGGCGTCACTGCGGACTTTGTGCTAGACAATGGCGAGGCTGAACAGTATCTGCACACGCCAGCTCCGAGCGGCCTCTTTCGTCAGGCCTACTTTGAATCGACCCCACTGGCCTTCGGAGAACACACCATTCAGATGACGAACATGGCGAACGGCCCCACCAGCTATCTGGATTATATCGTCTACAATACGACGGCGCAGTCAGGCAGCACGACGACCGTCACCTCTCTCGTTACAGCCACATCCATTCCTGGAACCGCTCCTTCGAAGCCTTCCAATGCGCCTTACAAAGTGGGCATCGTCGTCGCTGCCGTAGTCCCCCTCATCATATGTGCATGTACCGCAGCACTTTTTCTCTCCAGGCTCCGCAGACTGTCAAGGCAATACCGACGTTTGCTTGGTAAGTTATAAATCTTTCGGCCTTGTCTTCTATGACTCACTGGTTGATCGTAGATGAACAAGCGTGGTCCAGAGCCTCGGGAGGGCCAGCCATGCATATTGCTTCTGCCCCCCTCTTCTCTCCCCCGAGCTATGTCAGTGCTCGCCACCTGATGACGTCCGTGATGGATCAAAATTCGCTCGAAGAAGTCCGAGTCAATCCCATATCAGTGATTAATACATGGGATGTGGGACAGTTGCATGACACACATCCTCGTCCCTTCCGTTCGCCGGCACCCCCGTATGAGACCTGACCTGTTCATGGAAGAGAAGCGTCGTCACAGGCATCTGCCGATGTTTGGCACGCGGATTCGTGGCTCCGGTGAACCGCTAGAGCTATGATGTGTTGGAAGCTTCTGGCGCTGCCAAGTTACAACAAGTCACCGAAAATGTTAAGGCAGCGGCAGCGACTGAGCAGTCTTGAAGAAGTATGCGGGACGAGGAGACTTCGAGAGGAGGGCGGTGCCTTGTCATACCGTGGACTCGGGACCTTTCTCCCCAGTTTCTCTTTCATTCTTGAAATTGTACGGTCAAGCACGAGTTAAATCGGGAGTATATCATATGCCAATTACTGCCGCCACACTCTTAGATTCATGAAAACACGGATGTCTGAATCTAGCATGAGCCCGCTCGATTCGAATTCAACCCCAGTCCACGCTTTATGTGCGACGCAACCAGGATGCGCTAGTACTGAACGACTGGATCGCACAACAACACGACGATGGTATATTCATGTACTGGGGGCATTCTATTACACTCATGGTCTCTACGGTACGTAAGTTCACGATCACACAAAATACGACGATACAATACCAAGAAAGTCCGCAGAGAACAGTTCACGAAAGCCAAGCAAGAAAGACAACGTAAAGCAAGAACAAGAGGAATGAACCGTCCGCTGGTGCTACCAGAAGCGGTTAGCGAGGGGCTCCTTGCCGTCGACAAGGCGTCTATGGATGATGTTGCTCGTGAATGAAGACCACTGTAATCCCAGAGCCGCGTCAGAAAGCATGACCTAGTATAACGACAGAGCACTCACCCCATTGCCGATAAACACCGCCGCCTTCCTCGCAATCTCCATATCCACCGCCATGTTCACCCCAATTTGTTCATCGTCCAACACGAGATCCTTGCTCGTAACGATCGTCGACCACCCGTGCGCGTACATCACGCTCTTAAAGTTCTCCACCCACTCGTTGTCCGCGTTCGTGAGCAGGTACATCACGTCCAGCACGCGGCCCGTCCCGTTGTTGATATACTCCGCCTTGGAGTTTCGTATCTTCTCGACGATTTTTTCAAAGTTCGGGTAGCAATGCTCAAGGTAGAATGCAATATTCTCTGGCGTGTTCTCACCCCACGACCCGCCTGGGGGAGGCTCGAACTTGTCCGGGTGCGATGGCAGCTGATTCCACCCGTAGAAGGTCGAGTTCCAGCGCGCAAGGCCGTAGCACGCATCCTCATAATCACCCCTGCGGATGTGCAGCGCCAGCATCCGCTCGTAGGGGCTGTGCGGACCATACCGCGGCGGCCGCGAGCCCCTCGGCAGGAAGAGATACTCATTCCGGTCCACCGCAGCAGCCACGAGCGGTGCAGTGCCAAACAATCGCGATGTCGGCGAATCCTGGAAGACCGGCCAGAGCGACAGCAGGCGCTTGTACCCGATCAGCCACAGGTCGAACGTCTGCGGGAAATTATCGTTCTTTCCGGGCACGACCTCCACGCAGCGGTGCGGCGAGTCCCCCAGCACCTGCGTCCACCGTCGCAGGATGACATCGCCTTCGGCGTCCTGTAATTCGGGTTTGATGGTATCGGTGTCTATGATTTGCCGCTCCTCCGGTGGGCAGACCTCGTCGAAGTACGCTTCGCTGACAGACCGGGGAGCGGGGTCGCCGTCATCCCAGGGACCACCGGCGGTCGGTCCAGATATCAGAGCGTTGATAGGAGTCTGCGGCCAGTGAGGACCGCTTTCCCAAGGCCAGATCGTAATGCGCCATGGGTAGTACTCTGGTTTCCAGTAGTAATCTTGGAAGACGTAGGCTCGTTTCGATTCGTAAGCGAGATGAGTGCATAACAGACTGAAAGACGCATGTCACGGGAAGGATGGTCAGTACGGCGAAAGGGAAGACTCACATTTCGTTAAGGACATTATTCCACCCGAGCGCCTTTATCTGATTTGAAAACTTCACGTAGCGTCCGGCCTTCCCCTCCGGAAATGGTAACGACAGATTGTGTTGGGGCAGGTTCTTCTCCCACTCCCGCAGCTTGTCGTAGTTTGGCGGCTCGCCTGTGAGGCTGCCGCCCGAATATCTAAGGGGCCCCTCTACCGCCTTTTTCGCGTGTCCTCGAAGGTTGAAGAGAAGTACCAGCACGAAGAAAGCGCCAAGCGCGATGAAAATTCGTCGCTGGTGCTGCATGAGTGTGGAGTACGGTCGTGCCGGAGACCCTGGGATAAGACGATAGAGGTTCGCCATGCGGGGTGAGCACGCAGGCAGGAAGGTTGAAAGGGCGCCTCACCTTGCGTCCATTTATATTGCGCCATGGCTGCGGGTTGGCGCTGGACAGACACAGGCAGGTCGGCACCTTATACAGGTCCCAGCGGCAAGTCGCAGAGTTCTGCGGATCAGTCCCTGCTACAAGAGCCTGGGTGGCGGTGTAGGTACCCTGAGCCGCCAGACGATGACTTGGACGGACTCGGAGCGGACTTGCCAAACTGGATACTGGAAGTTGTCGGACCCTGAATACTTTCAACTGCAATATATTACTTACGTCTCGCTAGTACTGATGCGTATGAGCAAGTAGGGGACAATCGCCCGTTGCGGCTACGTAGGCTTGAATTAGTAAGTCTTACTCGGAGGTGGATAGGAACCTATCATTCACCAATCATAAGTCGATAGCAGTCCGACAGGCGTAGTCCTGACTGGAAGGGCTCATAGTAGCTGAAGGGAAGAGCGGACGGGGCTCAAGGGTAAAATCAAAGACCTTATATACCGTTTTGTGGAGGGTTCTTGACATATGTTATGGCGTGACATCTATTCTGAACATAGCTGAGTTCGGTATTGACCTTACTATATCAGGTAACACTCTTCGATACAGGACGTCACCGTCCGTGCGGGCTGTATTTTCTGGTAGCTAAGCTACTTCTATGTACGAGACATATCAGCAAGCTGGTGAAAGCCTCAGCTTTGACGAACTTGCGGCCTCTGCTTGAACAAGACATAGATATATCGGTATTCGGGGCCCTTAATAATGCCGGTATTGCCGAAGTTGAGCGGGCTTCCACTACCTTGCGAATGTCGCTCCCAGTCGACTGTCATGGGTACAATACGTTTACGACACCTCCGGCCCTTCTGACAAGCCTGAAGTCCATACGAGGGTATGTAGTCAGTTTTAGTCCCGAAAAGGCTGATGGAACATCAGCGATATGCTCGTAACAAAGCTGTATTAGGCACAGCGCCCGTGAAGCGCTGCAAACGGTATGTGTATTCTCTTTTCTACATATTCCGAACCAGTCTGACGACCCTATCGGCGAGTAAATGAAATGCCCTCTTGACACTCGTGAGTACTGGCAACAGGACATAAGGATCGCAACCCGGGCCACAATACGGAGGTCGCAGAGCGGACACGCCAGAGCACTCGAATTTCAGCCACTCGACACCATTCAAGGTAGCTAATCTCATTGTACCAGCAGGCAGCTATTCGGCCTAAGAAGATCGACCTTCATGATGGCACGCTTCCCACAACGGAGGTGATGCGCCGGTCCTCGACCGAGTCCGGTTGTCCGGAATTTGAATTGTGTCCATTTGGAAACTCCATTAGTATGCCACACAGCAAGTTTCAGTATCCGGGCATTCGTACGCACACGCCTATAATTCCCATTCACACATGAACTGGCCCTATATTGAGGCAGTGTCCCAGTCGATATACGCGGTAACGATGCGGGGGAGGGGGGGGACTGTAAGGTCCCCACGCAAATTAGAGGTACGTGGTACAGCCGCTGGCTTCCTTCTCGCTGCGTGCCCATATACCCTTAGGACGCTGATATGCCTGGTAATTTTCGTCGAGCTGGTATAGCCGCCACAACTCCGGAGTACGGGCTATAACGCCCAGTCGAGGGCACTCAGCCTGATGGAACTTCAGCCCTCTCGTATATGCTTTCAGCAAAGCGGTATCAGGCACCGTATCCGTAAGTTCCTCAGAGCAAATGGTACTTATTTATATCTTCTACCCTACTCACAGTGACCTGGCGCCGCTGCAGACCGCTACGAACAGGAGAGGAGCGCCTCAGACTATAGCTGCAGACCATATCAACAATGAGGTCATTGAAGACCTTCCAGATCGTACCCGGACGCGGTTGTTATCTTGGACTTCGACACACATCGTCACCTCGATCCCCGAATGCTCTAGAGTATGTTGCTTCGGGATTGGCATAGTATCGTAGCTGCACCGCACGACCTCCCCTTATTGGCTTCGACACCTCCTCAGCGGTGCGTTGTTGTCAGGTTGACTGAGCTTTTCCGTATAGCCATGTTTCGCGTGAGCTCTTCGGATTTTTTTCCCTACCCGTATTCGTGCCGGCGAGTAAACGAGCAGCCTATTGACATCCGCGGTTTTGAGCACCCCGCTCCGAGGCCGCGGTCAAGCTTCAAATCACAAGCGCACCAAATCACCGGAGTGAGCGTTAATCCCGCCGTTTCGTAGGACAGACCACAAGCACCTGAGAATTGCAGCCTCACTTTAATTCTGAAGTACGTAGATCGAAGCTGTACAGCAATCGCGGCATTAGATGCTATCCAATGGAGCTCGTATCCTTTCCAGTGGCTATACAACGTCGACATTTCCAGCAAAAAGGTGCACTGACGGGCAAAAAAGTTGATGATCCTCCGGTACCACAAGGAAGGCCATGGCCGGGTCCTCAAGGCAAAAGTCACGGCAGGAGTTCATTGTAGAGTGAGGCGCCGGACCGCACCAGCTCTTCGTACACCAAGCATATGTCGGGGCGTTTATTGAATACCCAGATAATACCCGGACGCAGTGGTCCGTTGTGTGCTAAGGCATTAACTCGATGTAGACGCGTCCACGCAAGCTAAAGATACCAGGCAGCGGACTTCCAGCGCTCGCTAATGTTTCCTCGAAACCCCCTCGATGGGCCCAATCCCCGGTTGACAGCTCATCTGACAGGTTCTGCCGGCTGTGTCTCGTGCTGATCTTGCTTGCTGGTCGTTCTTGCCTCTGCGGCTGCAACACAGAAAGGAAGTTATGGCGTAGCGTCTGCTCCTTCGCATGATTCCCTAGGGTGTTTGGCTCCTCAGATCTTCCTCGTCCCAAGACGATCGCGCCCTCATGATGCTTGGCTACCTCAGTGTCACGTTTGGATACTCTCTTAGGGCTATCCGGGTACCTGTGGGCTATATCGGGAAAGTTCCGCTACTGAGGCTCAACGAAACATGCACAATGAACCGGGCAACTGGAGTGGAGCAGTGATTTTACGCCTTCCCGCAAACCACTGGCCACTCACCGTACGAACCCTTCTGGACACTTAACAGGCGCGTCGACCGCTGTATCATGCGCATCGAGAGGATTCTTGATGATCACGGACGCCAGGAGCGAGGTGACGGCGATGAAAATGGACGTGTCTATTGCCAGGCGCCCGGGAGAAGCTCAAACGGAATTAGTGGTCAAGACTCGACATAGGGCAAGGTGGGAACGCGGAGCTACCGATACAATCATGAATTAAATATGCGCTCCGAGACAATGGGAAGAGGGCAAGCAAGAAAGTACCCGTGGAGTCCAATGGCTAAGTTCACGGTTAAACGCAGCTTCGTCAGGAACACCGATATCCACTGACAAGCCGTATGACAGTGTATGATCCTTGAAAGATTCTGGTGCATCAACCACCTCGCCTTGGTCATGGAACGGGATGATTTTCAAGAGGATATCGATCATGTGAGTGACAGTATTAGACTACGGTGTCCCCGTCCCAGAATGTGGACACCCTGCGATCAACTTTTCTCGTTCATATCTCGGAAGTGGCAAGTCTTGCATTACTGTCACAACTCTGGCACAGTGAGAGAAAATAAATGTGCTGGATCCAGAACTAGCAATGCAAGGTTGTGGAGGGTTGTGGCCAAGTCAGAGAACGCCACCCCGACGTCCCGGCCTCAATCCGGCCTTGTTCCGGAAGTCGAAACGGGTTGAGACCGACTGCAGCTGCATGGAGGTACACCCCCCGCCCGCTGCGGCATACTCCCTCCATTCACATTGCTCCTACTCCGATGGCAGAGTCAGAGTCGCACTCGCTTTAGCAATGACCATCATGATCAGCTGCAATCACTTCCTCCGCCCGATGGGCCGCTGAGCTGGCTCGCATTTATTTTATTCCCCTACACGTCCAGACTGGACTCGGGTGTCTCGGCGGTTTCATCGCCTGCTGGGCTCGGAGTGGTGTGCTGGGCGTTGATTGATCATGATAAATCCGGAGGGTGCCTGAATCCTTATCCCCCCCGCTATATCTTATGATCATGATGGATCAACTGTGGGGGCAAGCACCTCGTCCATCGACCACGGATTCACTGACAAGGGACGATGTCCTTCTCCATACGACAGCTAATAAATCCCTCAGGTCTGTTACGAGAAGTGGCCATGGCGGTTACCACGGCGCGAAACACTCACCCCATATCTTGTTTAACTTGATAGACAAAGAACTTGATGAAACCGCTGATGTACTAGCAAAAGCATTTGAGTATTGTACGTGACTTATTCTACCCGAGAATCTTTCATTAGTCTCAACATACGTAGCCTACTTCTTGTCTGCCCTAGGGGGAAACCGAGAACTGGTCGTGCCGTTTCTACGAGCACACTTGAATGCCGCACTCCTGGAAGGAGAGATATACGTTGTAGAAGTTCCGACAGATGGCATAGTCGGGGGAGCTGTTTGGTTCGGTCCCCAGCACAAGTTCATCTCGACGTCCGTAGTATCTCCCACAGCGACCGGACAACTGTTGACTACACTTCCCTTCCATTAGACCAGAGCAACGTGCTGCCGGCTGGGACGACATCATGGCTAAACTGGAGCCCAAGTTTCAAAAATTCTGGGATCAGGTAAATACCTTGTGATTGGCTTTATTCCGACTGATCCTGACATCGCCCCGAGTTCCTGGTTGATTACGATGACTTATGCGAGACGTCCTTCGGTCCTGGCGTAAAGCTCGCATCGTACCACCTACAAGTCTTCGGAGTAGTACCTGACTATCAGCGACGGGGCTTCGGAAGAGCCCTCATCGAAGCAGTTGCAGACAAGGCAAGCTTAGAACTTTATGGTTATGCCGCCTCTCGCCTAATATATCACAGGCGAAGCCGAAAGGTGATACCTTGGTCTTGGAGACTATGGGGGAGACAAGGGTTGGTCCTCTACGTCGTCGATCGCGCAACGTGCTGAACTTCTGTGGTGCTAGGTTGCTATCTACAAAGCGATGGGATTCAAGATGGCGGGCTCCGGCTCTGTACGAGGGGTTAATGATGCCGACTGGGTCTTCTATTGCTTGAAAAGGCCGACAGCACCCGATACTGAGACGACCACCTAGCCGTAGCAAAGGTGTTGTTCTTATATTGAAAATGGAGCTACAGCGCACGCGAAGCTATGCGCATGCCAAAATATCGGCTTCGCCCACCATTCACGTTCGAAAGGTGAGGACTGGACCTGAGCATGCCACCAAAAGAACAAAACGAGAAGAACGAATCATTTACAGGTAAAGCTCCAAAGCAAAGGATCCGCCAGAAACCCTGGGTGATTGAACAGTCGGTTAAGGCGCCTTATACATGACCCAGATAGGAACAGTTCCAGTGGAGCTGTCAATCTTGTCTTCGGCCTTGACCTCAAATCCCCATTTCTTGTATATAGCGACCTTGATAGCGAGGTAAGCCCGCAGGGTAGATGGACTTGAACGAACATAGTCACTTACATTCTTCTCAACCTCAGCTTCGAGACACACTCCTTCTCCCTGCGAAGCGGCCTGTCCAATATGTTAGCCAATGCATCGGGTCCAGAACGGCTGAGCTACCTTTTCGAGAATGGGTTTGACTAACGCACCGCCAACGCCCTTTCCCTGGTGCTCTGGCAGTACTGTCAGCATTTGAAGATGCCATGAGGCAGTTTTCACGCCTTCGCCGAGACCTTTCGTGCAAAGGCCGTCGTATCTCGGAAGGAACTAAGATCGCGGTGAGCCGAATTTGAATTTATATCTTGAAGAACCTACGTATTCAGTCCACCACTTGCTCAGTTCCGGTGGGAACGAATGGAACAGGTCGTCGAACCCCGCTTCATGTTGCTCTTTGCTTCAAACAGGATGAATATGAAGTGAACCGGGAAGTAGAAGATAAAGAAATACCTGTCTAGCAGAGATCGGCCCGGAGGGTACCATGCCGCAACGCCTGCGATTTCGGTATCGCCATAGCTTGCGACCCAGAGCTGCCCGCCTACGGCTGCCGCCGCCATTGTAGCACGTTCAAACGGGAATATAAGGTCTTTATTCCCGCCAACAACACCGATCGTGAATTCATCTGCAGGATGCGGTGCAGTTAGGTGATAAGTTACGGCGGAAATAGCACATTAACAATTCTTACCTGAGTACATCGCACTCGTCGCTACATTAGCGACTGCATCAAGCTGGGCGCCTACCGAAACAAAGATACAGCCAAAGAACGGGAAGACGAGGGCAACATCACTAACTGTCAGGATAGACGAGCTGACGGATTTGAATAGCGGACATGTTGCAGGTTGACTCCTCTATGACAATGGCTTATATAGGCATGTAGCTAAGGGTTGAAACCGGCTAACTCGGGCAAGAGCACCCTCGTCCATAGAGCATCAGAGCTGGTTACCCCCATGGGCTTTCTAAGAAATCGATATCAGATTGGGATATGTATCGCGAGTAGTGAAACTCGCTAGCGTGCGCCCATGCGGCAGCGAAGCACAAGGTTCGGGGGTATCTCACTATGTGCCTTACCGTGCAATGCCCCGCATCCTGGTTAACCGCTGTCGTACAGCATCGAGGCTGCGGCAAGTTCTGCCAGATGGCGCGGGGGGCATTCCCGCCGCAGCCAGAAAGGAAGGGCATGAAAACAAAGAGCGCAAAAAAAGCGGTACGGGAGCGTAAACCGAGTATTGTTACATGATTGTTACAGTGCACGCGGCAACGACCGGGCGCAAGGGGTCACGAATCTGGCTCAGTGGCTTGCTTTCTCCGGAAGTCCACAATGGACTCGGGACGTATCGTTCCGCCTGAACCTCCTGAGCCGTCCCCAGTCATCCGAGGTGCTGTCCGGACGAAAACAAAAGCAGCAGGAGAACATGTCCGGGCAGGTAGCACTGAGTGCTCGTAGGGCCTCCAGAAAGTGAGCGGTGTTGCATCTGGCTAGGTCAGGCTGCGAGGCGAATACGAAGCTGCCGTCAGTGGATAGGAGAATACGTTGCATCTACGGCCATAGACTCTTGCCAGTGGTCAGAGCCGAGTCAGCGAACGAATCCCGAGTCGACTCTGCGCAGTCTATTTATACTACTAAGTACCTGTCAGCAGAGGGCCATTGCTATGCATGGCAGGACACGAGTCCTGAGTTGTGTCTGATAAGTGATAGCATTGGGTGTATAAATGTTCCAATTGATGTATACAGTACTCTTTATTATGCACATATTAAAAGCCCTTAGATCTGTATGTGCAATGTCCCCTTCATTCATACTTTGTCCTCCTGTGGCCCTGCAATCATTATACCATAAAAGTCCCTGCCACTCTGACAGATTAAAAGTTGGTCGGTATTGGTGGCTACAAAATTGTTGTACCCAGCCCAGGGGATAGTAGCAGCTGCACTACTAGACGCAAGTAACATATATCAAAGTGCTCCTCTGCTGCCAATCGCCAATCAAAGATTGGCGGCTCTGTCACACAGGTCAATTGTCCCCAGTGAAAGAGACAGTCAATAATACCTGCAGACTCCAGGTAACATCCTACCAGAACCAGAGTGCTCATCCACTGCCAATCTTTGATTGGCAGCTCCCTCGCACTCATTTTTCCTGAACCAAGCTGAAGGACAGTCATCAGAAAGGATACTCAAAGAGTACCCCAAGCAGCTGGGAGCAGAAACAAAATATATATTATACATGTACCAGTCTCAGTTTCTCAAGGGGACATATAGAGACCACTGAGCAGAAGAAATCAGGGTTCCAGAGGCAGCAGAGATTGAAAAGCACAGGCCCAAGATGCCTGCAAGCAAAGAGACTTGTATCATAGTCTCTGCCACCTACACGTCGACTCAGACTATGTGTGTGAAAAACAATCAATGTTGAGACTAATTCCCACAGTAACAATCCATCAAACTATTCAGCAGTCAGTGTATTATTTCAGAACACAAGTGCAACATTCAAGAACCTCTTATAACCAACATAAGATCAATGTGTATGTACCAGTAATGATTGGATTAACAGGAAGCACATCCCACCAAGTTGACAAGCTTCAACTGCTGCACGTCCTAGACTAATGAGCAAGTGGGCAACAATGACATCACTCAACTACAGAAGTGCACTTTCTGCAGTCAAGCTATGTCATAGTAAGCAGGAGCCAATGAGAAGCCAGAGATTGTTGGAATGACAGGATGTGGCGAGCTCGCATAGGTGGCCCGGAGCGGCCGCTCACACCCTTATCTGATTTTGATCCGATAGTACCTTACCATAGAGCTCATATATACCTGGGTAGCGTACGTTTTGTCCTTACCGTGTTTGCTCCGTACTATGACACTGTACGCGCAAACGCGCCTTACTTTTGTTTTCGAATCTATTCGCTATAAAAATCTCACAGAGATCCCAACTGGCACGGCACCTCAGCCACGGCACCTAAGCCACGGTGATAGGCACTAACACACGACAACACCAAAGACCAAAAAGAAATAAAACCTAAAGCACCCAGTGGTATGGGTGTAGGCGGTCTAAGGCGATTGAAGGGTAATATTTAAGTTCGAAGGGAGGGGGAGAAGTTAGACGCCGTAGGGTAGCCCGTAGGAAAACCTAAAACAAACAAAGTCTTGAGGCCTGAAACAAACAGTATAGCGATTCTCTGGAGTATTTATCTCCGAAATTCGCCAGTAACCCGGGTGGGGAGTTCCACTGAACCCGAACAATAGTCTCGTGCCTACAGACGCTTGGTGAATTTTATACTTTAAATCCGGAGCTTACTTGGATCGATATGTGATGGCGGAGTTATCTAGTTTCGACGAGTCCGGCCTATTGGCAAAGCTAGGATTGATTGTAGACACTAAGTCCGACGCGAAGGGACTCCGAGGGTCGCTGAGACGATAATTCTGGTATGCTGAGAGGGTGAAGTACAAAACTTGGATTTTCCACTACGCTCTATACATTCTTATGCTATTGGAATGGTTTTGCGTCCGCCCGGAGTTAAATAACAAATATGCTCCGCATCCCACACAATTACTCAGCCTTTGCCCACCGCTATACCATGTCCCATACGATCCTGCCGTGTTTCCACGTGCTCGTCCTAGGTCCTAGAGGTAGCCTCGACGCGTCAATGCTCGCTTGAAGTGCCTCATCACGCGGTACTGCAGGCTGATCACGTGCGGATTAGCTCCGGCCGCTTGCTGACTGATACGTTCCGTCCGGCCGTCGATTTACGTCCGCTGACTCGGTCGCTTTGACGGAAACGAAGGGGAGTGGTAATACCAATGACTCACTGCGACGCGGGCCTCCACCGTTCCCGGAGATAATTAGTCACAAAGATATTCTTCCGGGTGACTTCGGAGCGTCTGGCTGCGGAGCTAAATCATTTCGGTGATCTGCGCCTGCCTTGAGGACGTTAGAAGGTCCGGAATTAAATCCAGAACCCTTCATCGGTTACTTGTCGCGTAAGAGGTTCGACAGGTGGTGTCGAATAAACTTTGGAGGGGATGTATGGTGTGTCAAATTCGCAATTTCGGGGGTCAGAAGATCGCTGGGGCTTATCAACGGCACCTCAGCCACTGACTACAAACAGCCACAGAAGTCAATTCCCACGGTAACAACATGCCACACATGATAAAGTGCATGCAGTAAAGGAAGGAGATACAATTAAATGCTCAAAATATTCCAGTAGATGGATAACCCAAAAAAACCTCTTTGTAGAAGAAACCACGGAAATACACCGAAAACCCAGGACGAAAACACAGTACTGTACCATTTTGATCTATTGGGCAGGTGGTGTGACATGTGACTCATCTGACCGATTCGTCATTTCGGCATTTTACTATATATGGTGCGAAGTGGCGCCGCAGGCCAGCTTTTAATACCATATATGGTAAGTTCTACCAGAGGCCCTGTGACTAGTGACAAATGCCAGATTTCGTCTTCAGCAGGTACCCCTGTGACGTTGATAAGCCTCAGGATCGTCTGACCCCCGAAAACGCGGACTCAGCACATTGTACAAGCCCTCCGGAGCTTATTCGACACATCGCTCACATGCCTCTTGGCTTCCATGGGCTCTAAAAGAATTTTTCTATTTAGCTCTGGGCCCCCTAGCATCCCCGAGACGTACACAGACCCATTCCGCGATTTATCTCCGCAAACGCGAGCTCCAGGGTGACTTAACCTATGCAACTTCTAGATGAATTAGCCCTGGTGCCCACAGACATTTCTATAGAGGGGTGTCATCCTCATGCCCACCCTCCAGCACTCACTCCCCCTCATTTCCATCAAGATACCGAAGGTGCGGACATATACGAGTCACCATGAGGTCAGCATCAGTCAGCAAGCGGCCGGAGGTAATTAGCATGTGACCAGCGTGTCGCACGGAGTGATGGGACCGCTTGGGTCAGGTGGCAGAGCGTTGAGGCGACCTATAGGGGCTGGAACGAGCAAGTGGGAGTGCAAGGGAGTCGTATGGTGTATGGTATAACGGAGGCAAGTGCATGGGGCTGTTCTAATGGCTTACGGTACCCACACATATTTAGGAATTGTGGGTTTGAAGCACATTGGTAACCTATACACAGTCCAGTGAGCATGTTGTGCTCTTCAGATGTATATAGGATCACTAACCTTGTACATAGTGGCCATTACATGAAGTAGGGTGCGTAACCCCGTACTTGGTACGTCTCCAGTACCTGTTCCTTCTCCAAGCATGGAAGCCCTGGCCTGAGCCCGAGCCAGGCCTGAGCCAGGCCAAAGCCCAATGCTAGGGCCTGGCTTGACTTGGTGACAGGCCCGAGCCAGCTCAAGCCAGGCCAAAGCCCGGGGCTCCAAGCTAAGCCAGGCCCTGCACATCACTACATACCGCTGGTGTTAGGTTTATTTCTTTTGGTCCTTGGTGATTGTTGTGTGTCAGTGCATATCAACGTGTGACTGCCGAATAGATTGAAATCATACAGTATTATTGAAACCAGAGACTACAAATCCGATTTTGTAGTCTTTTTGTAGTCTCCAATACCAACGGACTTTAAAGCGGACATTAAACAGTGTAGTCAAGACTACAACCAAAAAGTCGCACACATTCTCGGCATCGCGATTCCCATGGGGTACAACGTTCGGCACGCATCCAATTTTGCGGGTAAGGACTCATCCTTTGTAAACTGAGGACTCGTAACTGTATCGTGGCTGTCGATTGAGTCCAAAAGTCTCATGGGGTCGGCCGTCGTCCAAAGACAAACATGTGCTCTAGCCTGGTCTATCAGCCCTTCTCAAGCTTCAAGCTTCATGACCTGCAGCTGCTCTCACCTGACTGCAATACCAGCTTAGATA